GTTCAGTTAATTAGTTCTGTCATTATAGCAAGTAAATTGTGAAATATTATTTACATCCGTAAGTTTTAAATAAACCCTGGATGAAAAATACCCAAAGCTGCAAATAAAATAAGAAATTTCCTAAGTTTCCAAGATATTTATTAAAAAAATAAGGAAAACATATCGAAAATCATATTGTTTCAGTGAGAAAATATTGCTTTTATCCTAGGCAAGCAATCATATATAATGGGTAAATTAAGTAATTAGAGTGAAGGTTACTACTAGAAACACAAAAATATTTTGATATTTATGCTCGTATGCATATAGATTGCTCATAAAGAGTTAAATAAGTAAAATATATATATAAACACGTACACAAACATATACATGCAGGTTTATGGGAAAAAAAAAAAAAAAAGAATTAAACATTTATAACTATTTTCTTTTAATGTCTTGATTTGCAGTTTTTCACAAAATTTAGATTTTGTAACATAAATCCCGACTTACTGTTACAAGTCGAATCACAAACGCTAACATATACACCTTCTTGGAAACTACCAAAGGGTAAAGTTTTGACAGTGATTGATATTTTTACAGTGTGGGGGGATAAAAAAAACTACTTGATGCTTTTCGTGCATTCTGTGAAAGAAAGGTTCCGCGCTTTTCGAAAGTTTTTGTTGACAAAGCTGGTGACGCTTTAGAAAACAATACCTTATCTTTCTCAGAACTTATAGAGGGATATATAATATTCTTACGTTTGTAATATCACTGAATCCTATTCGGTTTGAACGGGCAATTAAGAATGTATTGATCTCAAGAGGTTTCTGGACAAGTCAGAATACACAATACACATGTCGCAGACACAATAGTTGACTCAACCTAACACAGGCGCAGTAGATGCAGATACAAATATGTGAATCCGTAGATTCCATTGAAGTAGCACATATTGAACTCAGCGCATGCGCAAGCTGGGATAACCTTCTCCGCTTGTATTCCCACAAAACCCTGTTCGCGTTCGTTTGTAGCGTTTCATGCCTTTTCGTAGCGTAGTGTATACGCCCATCGGCACCGGCTCTTTCCTGTGTCTTTTGCCGATAAGTGAGCTAGGTGCTACCAATTTTTATGAGCTTCAATACTGGGGACACCATTGATGATTTCAAATATTTTATTTTAAGAAATTTAATAAATGGTATTTAATAATTTTTATGGTTAGTTGGGGGCTTCTCCCGCACCCTCATTTCGATCACCAGCAATGTTTAGGGGATTTGAGATTGTGAGAAGTTTATCAAAATCACTGACAGGAAAAACATACCTCCCACGAGCAGCTCCGTTTGGGGAAAGGTATGCCGAAACAATTGCAAGAGTGGGAGAATTTTGTATAAAAATTTTGATAATAGTCGCTTCCACACGTTGCAAATTTCGGGGGGGGGGTGTATCATGCGATGTTTAATCGAATGTTTCACACATATACAGGTGCCACCACTTGCATGTCTGCCATATGACACCCTGTCAGTCGAATATGTTATAGTTCCCAGTTCTGGGAATTCGCCCTAGGATAAAATGGGTCTCTTAGACCAACAGTACATCAAGATCTTGCTCTGCAATGAAATCTCTCACTTCATGAATCTTATTACAGACACCATTTGCATTCCAAGTGCAAATGGAGAGTGAGCTTTTTGTGACAGATCCTACATCACGTTGGGAGTTGAATTTTAGGCCGTAACTTCTGCAAACTGTAGGTTCTGCAAATATAGCAGGAGACATAGGCCGAAAGTTTAGCCGAATCAGTCTGAAAGTTCAACATAATTTTCGTATATATAGAATGCTCTTATTAAGGCGTCAGCCTGCCTAAGCTTTGGCATAGCCTTTTTGAAAGCAAGAAGCAGAATATGCTTGTCTACCGCTGGGTCGCGGGAGATGTCAATCAAGCATTTTAGAGTGGAGGCGAAAATAACGTTTCGAGTCGGCACTCTCTGCTGAAGTTATAAGGTGTTTCTCCTACTTCTCTAGCGTTCCTTCGGGGTGTAACGGTAGCACGCTGGGCCGGTATTCCAGAGGTCCGTGGTTCGATTCCCGGCGAAGGCGGTTGCTTCTTTTTCATCTTTTCTTCTTCCAATAAACCTAATGACTTTACAAGTGGCGCCCGAACTAAAAGGGTTGTGGATGATGATTCTCCGCACCCAGGATTTGGCGACTAGGTCCCCTAAAACCCTAGTCGCCCTTTAAAAAGGGGAGTATATAAGGTATTTCTCCCACTTCTCTAGCGTGCCTTCGTGGTGTAACGGTAGCACGCTGGGCCGGATTCCAGAGGTTCGATTCCTGGCGAAGGCGGTTGCTTCTTTTTCATCTTTTCCGCTTCCAATAAACCTAATGACTCTACAAAGAGATTGCTGGGGTTACAGCTTTAGTTTTTGCAGCAACCGGCAGTGTTGGATGTCTGGAATCACATCCTGGCTCCTTGGTTGCATTCCCTATTGCCGCTGCATAACTCAGCGGGTTAACACCACTGGGGCGAGCATGTGCGGGACGTCTTGGTGGTTCGGCGTTTGCCATGGTGGTTGTAGTGCCCCGAGATCGAGCTGCCGAGGCAGCAGCCCTATTCCTAGTTGTGGATTTGTTACCATGAGTCCACTGATTGCCTGGGAAATGATGACAAGATCTAAAATTGGCCGGGTGATCTCCTCCGCAGTTGCAGGAAGTAGCAGGAATATCCATGGGTATGGTACATTCAGAAACCCAGTGTGGCCCAGAGCATCTCACAGAACAGATTTGTAAGGTGCAGACTTCCGAAGAGTGAAAGAAACCCTGACACCGAAAGCACTGAGTAGGGCCCTTGCGCCCGCGATAATGCTCAATGCTGACTTCTGTGCCCCACATGTCATGAACAGCAAACAGATGGTCAATGAAGGGGTGTGGGAGTACTTTTAAATAAACAAGTGGCATTGGATGTTTGGAACGTGTCTGAGTAAGCCAAACGCACCGATGCACTTTAAAGCCCATCGCCTCGACTTCATCTTTCACATCCTCGATTTCAGTTTGAATCGGGAAGTCTCTAATAACAATTTTGATCGGCCGGTCCTGCTGCAGGTCTAAAGTTTTATACTGGATTCCTGCCTTTTTCATTCAGCGGGTAACCTCCCGGAACTCAAGTTCGGTTTGAACGAACAATTTTAGATAAGATCCAGTGAGCTTGCTCTGAATATTGGGGGCAATCTCAAGCAAAAAATTTAATTGCGTCTTCCACTGCTTGCTCGATTTAACGTGGATTGCCGAAATAAAAGGTTGCTGCAAAGCGGGGGGGGGGGGGGGGGATGCTCCTCACATGCTCTCTAGAAAAACTTGTTTCCCCTTTTTCTACCTGTTGGCTGCCAGGGGTGGTAAAAACGGAGGGGGGGGGATAAGCTGCTCATCCTTCGAGCCTGACAAAGACTCTTTAATAGCTTCATACTTGTTTTTTGTAAGGTTCACCTTTGACATTTTCTTGGTGACCATCGTAACCTCTGAGCTTTCGGTCGAAATGTTGCTATTGCGCGCCATTTTGGTGGCCATATTGAATTTTGAAGCATTATCAGAATTATTTTCTTTGCTAATTTCATTTAATATTACATTTTCACTTGATTTACTACTCTTACTGACTTTAACATTACAATTCACATTAGATTCAATACATACAATTTTAACATCAGAATAATCACTCAGAATTTACGACGGGTTTACCTTGCTTACGAAAAGCGGGGATAATGAAACCGTCCTCATCAATACTTTGCCCTTTACGCTTATACGCTAATTTGGGGTTGCCTACGCTAATAGCTTTATTTAATTTCTCCTTATGGAGAGCTTCTTTCTCTTTAGCTTTATTAATTTTATCTAGCTTCTTCTGCTCGATCATTTTCAGTCATCCCCGGTCGGGGAAGGTGGAAAATTTGTACGTCAAGGGTATTAGCAGTTTCATTAATTTTGAAAAATAATGCTTTATCCGATTGGTCAAGATGCTCGTATCCACTAGAGTCCAGCGGAGTTGAAGATCGCTTCATGAATCTTTTTTGCCGTTGTATTTCTTTATACTACTGTTTCAGCTTGTAGAAAGTCACAATTAGCTTTGTTTTATTATCCAATTGCACAGGTGAAGTCTCTGCACAAGTATCCACACTGTTCACATTCACATCACTCTCAATATTCGATATATCCATGATATTATTCTCATCTCGCTAAAATCCCCAGAAATCGGCTGCATTGGCGGGAGCGCGTCAGACACCCGTCCTACCTCCTCGGCGTTCACCCTCGGAATCCTGAAAACCCTCTCCTTTGAATTATGCCTGCCAATAGTGCTTTTGCTGCACTTTCTCTCCGCCTTCTGTTATTCTCTACAACTTTTGTATTAGATGACCTGCCTCCCTCAACGATGATGTGCTAGCTCCACCACTGCTGGTTTAACTAACTCTTCGTAAGTCGAATTGAATGTTCTATCTCAGCAACTATTTTCAGCTAAATAATACCTACAATTTTGTCGCTAGATTATCAATTGATATCAGAACAATGTTCGTAACATCTTCACGCCTATCTCCTACAAAACTATGAACATTATTACATCCATTATAAATTAATTACTGCTTTTCATTTTTGGCATAGTCAGGAAAATTATATTCATTCGTTTAATTATGCAATGTTGTGTTTTTATCTTCTTCAGTCTAAACTTTCAAACATTTTATAATGATGTAACAGAACAACAACAAGTTCTTACATCTTGGTTAGATATGCATTCTACATTGGAAGTGAGGACACAAAACGGAAGAAACAGAATTCTAAGGAATTAAAATAACAACAGAATGTATAACAAGACATTTACAATCTCTGGCAAAAGGATGATTTAACAATCCCTGGAATGATTTACCCAATGATTAATATGATGGAAAAAAGCACTAAAAAGTAATTGAGTTTCAGGCCAATATTTTGCAAACAGACAAGAACTTCCGGCACAAGAGATTTAAAAGGACTGCTTAAAATTAAAACAGGAAATCAAATTCATTTTTGGTAAGTTTTATTTTTCTCACATTTAGTTACAGCAGCAAATCTAATATGCAACAAAAGGCACTTCTAAATTAAAAATATTAAGGCAATGTTGTTTTAGAGCTGAATCACAGTCAGAAATAAAGCAATTAAGATATGTGGTTTGTATACATAATGACTATCCAATTAAAATAGTACAATGAAATACACACTATACACAATGCACATAAAAAATGAAGGACAAAATACTCAGCTTTGTATAAATTGACATTTCATGGTTTAGACATACTTTTATTATTATTATTCACAGTGAGGTTATGTTGTACAAGTTAAATCTGCTGATATAAAAAACATATCAAACATTCAAACAAGCCACATAACAAATGAAAACATTTATGAAATGACAATTTGATTACAATGATGCTAAATTAATATTTTAAACCATATACAGAAATATTAAATCTACACTGTAATGCAATTTAATATAGCTATCTTAATACATGATTTGATTGTTAATGAATGTCAAACTAAATATTAAAAATTTTAAGCACAGATGCTATCATATTTCAGTCTAATGATTAGCAACAACTTACTCTAAAAGTAGCCAAATTGAATAATAAAATACAGAAGTTAAGAATTTACAGAAGTTCATAACCACTAATAAAGAATAAGCTTCAATATCGCATATATTCCATAATGAAAAATATTTATATATAGTTGAATCTATAAATATGTTAAAAAAAAAGAAAATAAGCCATCCATACAAACAGTTCAGAATTTTGCTCATATATTTATTTTAATACCCAAAAAGGGAAAAACATACAGAGGATATTATTTGGCAATTTAATTTTTATCTTTTAGTGAGCAACTACAGTTCCAGATATTGCAGTTTAATAATATATAAATTATGCTAAGAAATAACAATAAGAATCTTCAAATTCTTTAAAATTCAGCTGTGCTTATTTCATTTTTATTATGCACAAGAAAATAAATTATCTGTAATTCCCAATAAGAAAAAATTTTAATCTCTCTCTCTCTATATATATATATCGGGTAGGGGGGATAATTGATATACGTTTATCTATCTATATCGGGGTGGGGATAAATATATTAACACTCAATACAGAAACCAGAAAAATATCAAATAAATTAGAAAGCTTGATCAATAATGTCTCTGATATGGTACATTTAAACTTACTTAATAAAATGCTGTTTATGAGTACTTACATATATGTACAGGTACATTTACATATGGATGGACACATAGATTTTCTGTAAGACAGTAATAATGTAACAAAATAAAATTTGTAAAGTTACTCTCATATCAAATGTTCTGACATACTTATTATCTATTTATTATCAAGGAAAACAAATCAAATCAATAAAATTTAAATAGCTTTTTGAGCATAGACTTTAAAAACATGCATTTTTATGATTAAAACTAGAAAAATACATATATGAAGATTAAGTCTATAAATTCAAATATGCATAAAGTTTCGTTCAGCAAATTAAAAATACTTTATATTAAAATAAATGTGTGTCCTTTATATATTTTGATCCCTTTTTTAAATGGAAGGGGAGGTCAGACTGGTCTGAAAATCTTCTCAACAGCCTCAGAAATTATGTTTCACTTTGCCTGTCTGTAATATCACTAACACAGGGAATGGAAAAAATGATTGACTAACATCTTTTGAATTATTGGTTGTAAACAGTAGTTCCAGTTATGAAATGAATCAAAATAGGATTTCAAAATATGACAATTTTGATCATTTAGGGAAAACGTATGAATAATGAATGAACTTATGTTCCATGAGGGGAAGGGAGAAAAAGGCGATTTCATCATATTAATACTCTGCATTAATATAAAATCGGTTCCCCTCTTCTTTTTTCACTGATGTTGCTAACATGTCACTGATGTTGTAAACACAATAACAAATTCTGTCAGTGTTTTTATGGCATGGCAACATTTTAAAATACATGTAAAGTCCTTTTGAGAGGTTTGGTGAGAGGACAAGGGATAGAAGACCCTTAGACCTGCCCTCTGGGGAATTCTTCAGTCAGATGGAAATGGACAGAATCATACTGTCAGCTTTAAGGTACCCAAGGCCCATGCCAATGCCAATGCCAGATACAGTTCTGCACTTCTTACAGATTTGATCATATATTATTGTCAAACAAGTGAGATAAGTTAAAAAAAAAAAAAAAAAAAAACTGTTTTCCAAAAGATGTTTTCTGAAAATACTCTAGGTGTCATGTTTTTATGCCACAAATTCAAATTACTAGCACAATTAATTATGGAATGTTATAATTTTACCCATATATTAAGGACAGGCTCACATTTTTAAAGTTCTGGCTAAATATATATATCACTGTAGTTATTGTTACATTCATAGTATCTGTGTTAATTAATTCTAAGGTAATTGCTAATTAATTTGAGTTTCAGTAATTTCTAGGAAATTTTCCTTCCAGTGGAACTATTGTTTTTCTACTGCTAACTGCTCTTTTCTAAGCTTCATATATTTCCTTCTGTACTAATCCCTTGCAAGTCCAAGTTTGACCTTTTATTTTATTCCATTCATTCACAGAATGCTATCAATGACAGAAGAGTGTTAAAAAACTAATCTCAAAATCTGAGAGATCTGAAATTCAGGATTGGCTTTCAGTGCTCATGATACACGTAATACGTGACTACGGGTTTTAGTTTTAATTCAATGATTCTTCAGAGGACAGAGACTATCCAGTATATTTTTCTTTTTGAACAGACCCAACCTCTGTCTGAACAAAGGCAAAGCCATGGTATTCTTAATGAATTAGAATAAACTGGAATAGATAACAAACAATATTAGTTATGTAACTTTAATGGCACTAATTCATTAACAGATCTATAGGCAATAAACGCTGATGAATTTTCTAATATTGAGGGCTGAAGATTATAATCTCAATGAAAATGCAATAGTATCTAAAATTGATATACTAAGTAATTTATGCATTGTTAAAAGATTTTTTAATGACAGCATCTGAGCTACTAAAGAACATTAAAAAAACTTACTAATTTAGAAAAAGATCATAAATTCCTAAAACTTGAAGAAAAACAACCATATTATATTAATTTCTCCAAATAAACTTCAGAAAACATAACTAAAACTACAGTGGCAAATTAAATTGCATGTCAATATTTATTTTCAAATAAAGTCTATATATTATTGAACAATTCTGCAATTATATTAACTACATACTATGTCTTTTCCTCATAAGGTCATTTTACCAAGTCCCTGTAATGAGGTTGACTGTCTTTGTAAAAATATTTGATGTTCATATTCTCCCCTTGAAATTTGTTTCATAAAATAGTTAAAAAATTATGTTAAATTAAATGTATCTGGAATATAAATCCCATGAACAGTATTATAACCACATACACACAAGGAATACACTTTAAAATAAATTTACATGTAATTTCTTGCATGCTGAGTAGACCCTCCTTATGACACAATTATGTCAAATGAAATCTTTGGTGATAAAACAATTATGTACAACAGTTTTAATAAAAACATGTAAAATACAAGTGAGGCTTACTTGGATTAAAAAACCCACAAAATATCTAATCAGTTGTAAAAGTACTTTAAATACAAATGAATAAAATTAAATATAGAAACAAAAAATACTAAGAGTATATTAAAAAAAAATTAACACAACAGTGTTTATAGGTATCTTTCCTTGCAGTTTTAAGTTCTGTAACTTAAAAACTACAAGAAAGGCACTCTTAGTAAGGAAAATAATTTACGTTGAAGAGTATATGCCAATACATTATGCACTTATCTAGCCTTAAACACAGAAAAATGATTTAAAACACTTAAGTAGCTGAATAATACAGCTTCCCCTCTTAAAAACAAAAAGATGCTTTTTGTTTAACTACAATAATAAAGTTAAAAATTTCAATCACTACTTTGATATGACAGCATTTAAAAGCATAATGTTAAAGATGTATTCTTTAAAAAATACAGACAGGTATAATATTACTATTAAATATACATTTTGGATATCAAGCATTTTAGTATTGTAAATACAAAATTTTAATTTATATTAATTGTTGACATGCAAATATTACATTTTAAATTTAAAAAACTTCAATTACTTGTTATACTGTTATTACAATATAACAATAAGTGAATGTTTTTCATTACAATATAACAAATAATATATTTCCTTTTATCATCCAAATCAAGTTTAAGTGTCAATCAAAATGAAATCACTTTTAACTCAATTTTTCACTGTCAATTAACAAAGTTTCATTAAAAATATACTATTACTATTTGAGCAACATTTAGATGACACATCTTGTAACACACTGTCTTTGGTTAAAAGCAAAATTTACATAAACAGCAAAAGAGCATTAAAAAATGATCAATGGAAGGAAAAAGGGGGAAAAAACACAAGAAAAATTCTGCATGTTTAATCAAATTTTTTAGTTAAAAATTTCATGTTTTAAAAGTTTCATGTTAAAAATTTCATGTTTGGAAACATAAAAACTTCTGAATAAGAATCATTTATATTTTTCCAAATTCAAAGTTAGAACATCAGCAATGAGAATTAATAACCCAACCCTGGACATTTTAAATAAAAAACTGAAGAAATTGCATATTCACATTTTTTTGTTTTGGTTACTGATTCCTCAGCTATATATCAGTGTAAAACAAATTAAATAAAAGTGATAGAAATTTATGAATTAATTCCAGAATTCTATTGATAAAACAAAGCAATAAAAAAGAAAAATATTATGAAGGCTGTATTGGAAATTATCACTAATGATATGACCCTAAATCTTACTTTAGGCTTTTAATTGTAACAATTTTATTTTCAATTTATCATAGATAGTGTTCTTTAAAAGTTGACAACTTGGTTATTTAAAAACATGTATGCGAGAAGACCACAGTTACATTTCATTAAGCAGCAACTCCAACATAGAGCAAACATGAAATGCAAGCTATTATTAAATAAATTATGAGGAAACTTATATACATGAAATTAATTGAAGATCATCAAGGGTACAAATACCATTTACAATGAAATTACCTGCCCTCACACTTCATCCAATAGTAAAAAAGACATGATAAAATATTACATATTTATTTTATAAAGTATTCAAAGAAGTCCATAACAGCATGTTATGGATAAACTTAATTTTATATTTTATACATTTGTTTTAACATTTGATTTAATATGTTTCTACCACAATCACTGGGGGGGGGGGAACATATAACTTTTATTACTCAAAAATATTTTTCAACAAACACATCTGAAATTAAACTTACTTAATACTACAACCGAGTCAGGAATCCAAACATAATTATGCTCTATTTCAATATTTCAGTTATTTAATCCTTTATAATTTTGCTGCATTTATTTTTAAATGCATATAAACCAGATATGTTTCATAAGTCTTTTTAGGATTGCAAAAATAATTTAATAAAATTTTTTGTATGAGAAAACTTATTCTTTCTAACTAATCTTGCAATATCAATAACTGTGCAATTAATAAAAACCTTGCACATACTTTTAAATGCTGAATGAAATAATAAAAATAAGTTAATTAAAGCACACCTAAAATAAAAAATAAATATTTTATGTGCATGATAAAGAAATATACATTTTAATATTTCTCTAATTAAAGTGCAAGGTAATTTGACATTAAAATAAAGCACAGGAAAACTAAATTCCAATTAGAGTTTCAATAAAACAGTTTTTTTTCCCTCTAATTATTTTAAAAACCTTTACGAATAGATCTGAATGAAGTTTCAGACATATTTGGCAAAATGAGAAAACTTTATAGAAATATTTTTATCTACAGAATTAGTGCAGAATTAGATATGATTCAAATTTGCAATTCAATAATTGCTGAAGGAAACATAATGAGTAAAAACTGAGCATGAATATTTGAGCAAAGGAAATTACACAGTAGTATGTATCACATATTTGCTTAACTACTAAGCTCCTTATCTATAAAAAATTACAAGAGAAAATACTGAAGCTTTATTCTCAAAAAATTTAAGTCTGCAGATATTAATTGATTTATATTAAAGAATTTTATATATATATATATATATATATATATATCTATATATATAAAGGGGGGGGAAATACACAGTTCATAATATGCATCAAAATTACAACTGAGAATAATATTCAGCTATATATAAGCTTTATTAAAACTATGATGCCCTCAAAAAGTACAGATGAAATACAACTAAACACAAACAAGAATCAGCAAATGAAGCACACAGAAAGATTTTTTAAATAAAGACAATTTTTTTCTTTTTAGATACAAAAACTTAGCACCTGATTTACTTGCAGTTGATTATTAGAAGTTTTAATATTATCAGAATCAAAGACTTTGTCCTTCATTCTGATTTTAGGTCAATGATTTGAGTTACAATTAAAACTAATATCTGTTCAGCTTATTTTAAAACCATTATCATTATCATTTAGAAATCACCTCTTTCAGCATTAAACAAAAGTTTATGCAACATATATATATATATATTTCAAATTCATAAATAAAAAAAGAGGATGACTCAAGTTTAAAAAAGGAGTTTCCAAGTTTCCAAGCTATTTCATATCACAGTTAGGAACTTCCAGAAAGAGATTTAAATTTCTTGACTCTGAAGCATTTTAAAACAAAGGCTGAAAAATGATAGTGCCATGCAATTTTCAGTCAGAAGTAAAGCTAAATATATATTTACATCAGTCTTTAAATAAAAGGGGACTAAAAATAACACTGACAAGAAAAGCTACTAATTTCATATTAAATTTATGGCTTATGAAGCTGCCAGTATATACAAATCTGACGTGAGCAACAGCTGGTATACCATGACCAGCTGAGGAAGGTCTTCTTAAAGCTACATAATACAGCAATGATGAAAAAAATAGTCTATGGCACATGTCTAGAGGCACTTAGCATCTTTCCAAGTCAGATGCAATTGACCAAAGCTTCAGAAAACTCTTGTTGACTTGCAGCTGTTATTCAAAAGTCATCAAATTTTCTAAGTGCTGTTAAAGAGTAAAGACAAAATTCATTAGTTTCTTGACAACAGAAACAATTTATTTAAGCAAGATCATTATATTTTTCACAAGTACTATTCTTTTAAACACCACATTTATCATTAAAATCAAGAAAAACCACCAGTTAATACCAAAATCTTTAACACAGAATTTAAAGTTCTTGAAATTATTTTTTAAATTTGCTGCTTGACAGGTTTTTTTTTAACACTACAATACAACTACAGATGTTGGCCAACGATTTAATAAATACAGTAATTCCTTGACTTAATACATTTGCCATTATATAAGTGCATCAAATATATAAAATTCAAACGGAAACCCACTAATCCGAAATAAGGTCTTTGATAATAGTTTATCCTTTCTGAACCTATACTTCATGTACTGAAACAATATTCGTGCAGCAATTTGTTTGTCACCGTTAGTGTTTGTTATTTACCTTAAACTGCTTCCCTTAAAAATCATCACTTTTTTAATATTAAATACAGAGAAATGAAACAAAACAAAATATGTAGGTTTTAAGTCGATTTTTTTACAGGTGTAAAAGCATTTAATTTTAATATTAGTTTACTATCCCGGGTTATCTCAGGCAAATCAAAAAAAGTTAAATATTAGTCTTTGTATGATAGTTTTTTTAAACAAGGGACAACACAAAGTGATACTGACATTTTGTACACTGGTATCTGATCTCTTTTCTTGCTGGATTACCTCTGGAATCTCTTTTACGATAGAACACAGTACATTGTCTCATTGGATTTGATTTTTTTTTCAGTAGCAGGAATAACATCTGGAAAATGCCCACCTCTTCATAACCACTATCTGAAAAATCATCGCCATTATTTTGCTTTTTTTCAATGCAACTATCCTTCTTTATACATCACTAATCCACAAGTTGACGTATACTATTCAACAGGGAAAACACTTGACTAGTCTCGCCAAAAGAACCGTGAAACCAACAAAACTTGGAAAACTGCGAATCAGCTGAATATTTCCTTTCATTTCCTCCAAGTAAAACCGTGATAAAACAAATCGTACTGACAAATTCTGCTTCGTCCAAGTTTTCTTGGGATAATAATCAACTGCAATATATATACGAACCCGAGATAACTCGGAATAATCAGGCAAGTGGTTAAAATAGATTTGATATACAAAAGAAATTTATAACAAAGGAATTAGCAGAACCTCTTAACCTGATAAACATGGTGCTGGCAAAATTAAAATTGACTCATCGTAAAACAAGCAATCAAATGTTCTTTCAGTACCTTCAGTCTCCAACATTGAGAAGAGTAAATGTTGCCACAGCATAGCATTTTACTTCACTTCCATCAATTCTTCCATTACTGGATGTTTTTATAATCTTTTATATACATTTTCAATAATTTAATAGTTTATTTCCGAGTAATTATTCTTGCATGACGTACCACTTATAAAATAATATTGTGTAAATAATACATACATACATAATATAATAGTAATAAACCATGCCATTTCTTAGAAACACTTAAGCAATTTACAATATTGATTTACTAAATATCTGTCTTACATATTCTCATTATTTCAAAAGAACTCAAACTTCTATTTGAATGTCAAAACTTTTAAGTACAAGTCTCGGACATTTTCAAGGATAATGATTTTTTATGCAATGAATTTTATTTCAAAAGCTTGACATAAATTTAAATGCTTCAGATAAAAACTGATCTCCAATCCCTCCCCTTAAAAAGAACAAGGTTGTGCTGATACAATCAGGCCTTACTAAAATTTATTTCTAGTACTAAATGCCTTCAAAATAAGAGGAAATATGGAAGCGTAGTTGTTGAATGACGAGAATGAGGAAAACTAGGATTTTCAGAATGCAATGACTACAAATTAATCAAAAGAAGTCTAAAGTATTATATTGGTATGTTCAGCTTATGAAATTAGTCCCATATTCAACAAGATAAGAATTTCAGTTTATTGACATAATTTCCTTATAAAATTTGCAACATTGTCTATAAAACATTAATATGGATAATACCCTTTCCTAAAAGGGGAGAGAGAATATAAGAAACAACTCTTCTAAAAAAAATTAAGCAAGTTCTGTATCATTTTAATCAAACATTAACTCAGCTCAAGAGGTGAAACTTCCAAGTTTTTACAATGCATGATTATCTTTAGGTTATTCATATTGTTCTCAACAATATTAATACAAATAATGGAAATTTTGTGCATAATAACCAAAAGTACCACTTGGCATGGCAAAGAAAATTGCACATGTAAATATTTCTTACCATAGTCTCATCATACTGATTTGTTGCTTTTCTTAAACAATTATACCACTGGACGGTCTTTGCTGCTGATCCAGTTCGAAATTTATACACATTTCCTTTCTGGGGATCGGTAAGTTGGAATGCATCAGGCTGATTACTGGAATCTGAATACACAACTATACATCCAGTTATGTCAATGGATTTTGATGGAGAGCTTTTAAACTATAAATAAATAATTAAAATATGCTTAATGAATTAAGATACTACATTTTTATAATTAATACACTCACTTCCAAAGTTAAACACGAAGATGTAAAATGCAAAAAAATCAACAAATACTGCTTTGATTGACATAAAATTTGGCAGGAAAGTAGCATATATATTTATTCATAAAACAAAATCAATAATTATATACAGTCAAAAGTCGTTAATCTGAACTCGTCGGGACTTCGGCGATTCCGGATTATCGATTTTTCCGGATTATAGATCATCAGTTTAATTCTCGTAAGATGGCATGCAGAAATTTTAAAATTAAAAATATGAAACCGTAATTTATGAAATAAAGAACAATTATGATCTAAAGGGTATCAAAATTTGCAAAAAGAAAAAGCTTAATATTTATTTGTTTACTTTATTAAACATTTCTTTCAATGTTTGTTTTAAATCATATCAAAGACTGAGCATATCGAGATGAAATACTACATTTGGTAAGGAATTATAAGCCAAATAAAATAAAAACATTTGCGCTGAAGATAAGGATAGTGCTGACAGATCAACTTCCAATTCATTACGCGCCCGCCGCGGCGATCCCCCCGCCGTGCAGCGTGAAATTGATAAACAGATTTCGGATTTCAAAACATACTTTCGCTTTAGATCCTTTACATATTAACAAATATATATCGGAAATTCTATTTGATATAATCGAAAGTTTAAGCTTACTTTTATAAAATTGCTCTTAGAGTCTGCAAAAAATAATAAGCCGGATCCAATTCGAAAATTAAGGAACAACGCAATCATCAACATTAACTGAAATAGATAATTAGATAATTTTAGCTTATATGTCCATTATACATAAAACGCGCACGCGGAAACGTATTCTGCACTTGCGCACACTCATATGCGCAGTCGTAAAAGGTCTTACGCGCACGCGTAAACGCCTATGCGCATGTGTCAACGCGGCGCATGCGCAGAAAGCTTTTAGTTTTGAGGTCCGGATCATAGATCATTCCGAATTATGGGTGTCCGAATTAACGACTTTTGACTGTACAGAAATGAAAACAATATTAAATTTTTGTAAGTTATCAGATAATGACATACTGGAGACTTAAACAGAATTATGTATAAAGTGAAAATAAACAGCATAAAATGGAAAAAAGTACATCAACAGGGTATGTGATCCCCCCCCCATCTGTATAAAAGCTTGCACCTTGTGACCATGCTTTCAACCACCGCAGAATTAAGCAATCGCCATTGTTCTTGTAGAGCAGTTTCCAGCTCAATAAGAGTAGCTGGAGTTAGGAAATGTGAAGATACAGCACGGCCGAGAGCATCCCAAAAATTTTCAATGGGATTAAGGTCGGGCGAATATGCTGGCCATGCTAAATGCACAATCCCTTCACTCTCCAATTAGTCATCGATGATGTCAGCTCTATGGGGACGTGCGTTATCATCCATTAAAACAAAAGTAGGACCAACTGCTGCAGCGTAAATCTCACAATGGTTCTAGGACTTCATCTCGATACTGGACAGCCGTCAGAGAACCCCGTTTAAAGATGTGCAGGTCGGTGCAGTATCCTAACCATAATGCTTCCAGCTCGGAATGCATGATGTTTTGGGACTGATTGCGTGTTCATTGTTCATGTCATATCCTTATACGCTTGTCATCTGGCTCCAGAGCAAATCTCGACTCATCAGTAAACATGACATTGTCCACTCAAACACATTCCAATTGACATGTTCTCGGCACCACTGTAATCGTGCCCCTCTTGATTGGACGGATAAAGGAACACAAACTCGAGGTACCCAGGCGTACAGCCCACTATGTAACCTTCGGCGAACAGTAGCTGCAGATATCGCCTTACCAATGGATGCTGTAACCATAGATGTCACACGTGTGGAGGTTGCTCTGCGATTCCGCTTGGCTACAATAGCAATATATCGATCTTCCATGGGAGTTGTAACCTTTGGGTGACTGGCTACGGGCCTTCTGACAACTGTCTGTTTGGTTTGGAATTGTTTCCATGAACATGAAATTACAGAATGATGAGCATGCCGAAGAAAAGAGCAACATTTGTGATCGACTGCCCTACTTCAATGCACCCCACAGTACGCCAGCGCTCAGAATCTTCCATTCGTCTTCTGGAAGTCATAGAAACACGTATGTCTTGAAAACAAATTGTACGAAAGTTTTAAACACCTTCTATCAGCACTAACAATCAACTTCTGTAACCCTTCATAAAGCTGGCTTTTTATAAGACTGCCTTTTTTGCATATTTCTTGACATGAAAGCACGATTGGCTGTTACCTAACATATTTACATACTTCCATCTACCTCTGCAGCAAATTGCATCCTCTTCAATTCTGATCGGCTTCTGGAAATTAGCATTTTCCTCTCCGTGCTTAACTTTTTGGAAGTGAGTGTATAAATAAATACCTATTAAATTATACTTATTAAATATTAATAAATAACATGTAGCTATTAATGAAACTTGAAAGATATAATGACTGACAGTATAAAAATATTCATGCAAGCAGATATGAAATTTAAATCTCAAGATACTGCATTTTATAAATTAGATGTCATTCAAAACTTATCTTTTTTCTAATTAATATATATAAATAGGCATTTATATTGCCTTATATTTTGAGTGCCCTCCACACCCGCATAGACAAACATATACAAACACCTATGCCTTCTCTAGGATCCAAAGCTGTGTCCTTCAGTACCGCAGTCTGCTCCAGTTACAAGAATATTTAGAATTACATATTAAGCTCGATTTTTTATTTAAGGCAAAAATGACCATCACAGACTTCAGTTCTGATGTTTTCTGCATTAATTCAGGTGGGCTATGTTTTATTTTGAGGTTGGTCAAAAAGAAGCCACTGGCATTTCAGCATAAAGGCTCTTCGCATTAAGTTACTTAACCAAGCTACAAAAATTCCAGTAGCCCTCACAAACTCCAAGGTCAGCTAAATTATAAATGTTTGACATGATGAGAAGTTATGAACTGAAACATCTGAGAAGTATTATTTTTTTCCACCACTTTGCCTTAGCTTTTAAATTCTTTTTAAGAGGCAGACTACAAATCTTGAAATATTTAGACATCTTGCCACTTTTAAAACTGTCCATTCTGTTTTTCTAAAGAGCTGACAAATCTCCATCTTAAAGACTCATGTTTATATAAAGACAGAAACAATATTTCAGTGGCATATTCTTTTTTTGATTTGATACGCAATGAAATCAAAATTTGAATCGCACAAATTTGCTGAAAAACATAATTAGTGGAAAAATTCGCCATGCCTTTTCATGACATACTACCATTTGCATTTCAGAAAGAGATTGAGTATTGATAATTATGCATGCTTTTTCATTAATTTCATTGAAAAATAAATTGGATTGGGTTACTTCATGGAATATTTTTATACATGATTTGGAAACCAGTATATGTTCATGCAAACTATTCTCTCATAAATTATTTTTCTGCAGAAATTAATGTTATACAAAAGATTAAGCATAAGAAATTAAACTTTACTTAAAACTTACATCAGATTTTTCTGTTCCTCTTAGTGTTTTAGGAGGAAAGTAAATTAATGTTGAACCTTTCAACACTAACCAATATCTCATCCATGGTGACATCTATGAAAAAGATGAAAAAAGAAATTATTTATTGCAATATTAAAATGTTAAAGTATGTAATGACACCTGTCTATTAGCCAGATGCAAATGACTTACACATCAGTTGATATTGATAAGAGATTAAAAGTACTTCCTAAGTAAGTGATCCAGCCAAAAATATAAACATTGTAAAATGTTACCAACATGTCAAATAGCATGGTACTGGACTGGAATAATTATGGTATATTTCCAAATATAAGTTGACTGACTTGTCCACATTCAAGAATTATGCTTTTACTGCAAAAATTCAGCCAATATTGTAAAAACCTGATTAAACCAAATAAAAAAAATGTCCTTATAAATCCAACTATGTGAATTGTGAAAAGTTTGACTCGCTCATTGCCTAACTTAGATAGACCCCACAGATGAGCTGAAGGTCTATTTCAACTTCATTAAAGACGTACAGACCAAAAAACTCTGCATACTCCACTAGTTTTACTAAAAGTTATAACTCTTTCTGAGCATTGCTATGGACAAAATAAAAGATGCTTTTACCTATGAGGCAAATGACAACACTAATGGTGATATGGAGGACAGCATTCACACAGATTAGCTTCAAGTAGACTTCAGGTTATTATTAGAAAATTCGGAGTTGTGCATGGATATTAAGAAACTTGATTAATGTATATTAGATTAAATTTAACAAATAATGTATTTTTTCAATTATTTAACTCATATTTCTGTGCTCAAATTATTTGTAAATAATTTTAAACGTGTACATAAGTTGACCTCCAAACTTCTTTAGCAAAAAAAATTACTAAAAATTCTCAACCTGTGTAGAAATATACAATAGATGCATAAAGTCTATGCCATACCCATTAAAGTAATTTAAAAGGGAATAATTCATCAGATTCTTGGAAATTTGCTCAACAGAATTAATAACAGTTTGATTTCAATACTTCAAAAAGCAATTTAAATGCAGTTTTACAGATCCATAAAATAAACAGCTAATGAAATAGGATCCACAATTTCTTCTCAGTTATGACAAGGGTGTCATATTTGGTGATTTATCCCATTCCTTGCTTGGAAAGACCACAAAAACCATTTTGCGCACAGTTAAAAAACAAGTATTAACAAAACTACTAAATTAATAAAAATTCATATCTCCTTAGATGTAACAATATCAGATTTAAATTATTAAGAAATATGTTCCTGAAAGTGCAATGAAACAACAAGAATAACTTTCCATTTGCATGAATAAAAAAAGGAAAGGGATGACTTGCATAAGAATAATACATACTTAGTTACATTATGCACAAACTATTTTTGAGCTTAAACTTCAAACTCATGCAATTTAAGTTCATAATAACTTTTCTGCCTAAATAATTATTTCAGTATTAAAATCCATAAAATAAACTAAATTATATAAACACTATTCATGACACATTTTTTCACAAATGACACACTACAAATTTACCAAATGAGATTATCATTGGACTAAAACAGTAATATTCAGAAAGTTCTCAAGGCATCTAATACCCTATGCATGTGCATGTACAGAATGAATTGTATGAGGAAATCACTGAAACTAAACCTAAAGATGCAATTCAGCTGTATTTAGAACATACTCAGACTTATACATATTTGTGTTTTAGACACTATCACACATAACATTGAATATGCATACCTGGGCACTACCATGCACAGATAATCAAGAGTACACTGCATATGTGTTAAACTGTAAGGACTGTTTGAAGACATTTCTCATAAAATACCAAATATTAACATTTTTATTCCTAATTAGCATACTTTAGTATATGAAATATATAAATTAGTCGCTATTAATTCTTGACTACAGTTCCAATTTGGAACAAAAAATAAGTCTTTAAAATTTTATTATAACTTTCCTCCTTTTAATTGTAACATGTATATTTTTAGATTAGTGATTTATTTTCTTTCAGAACAATATACTTCTAAAAGCTACACTTAGATGCTTTAAAAATTGCAGTAAGGTAGCTTAGGATGATGAATAATATTATTTCTATTAAAAGGTAAAGATAGGATATCATTGTTGTTACTTTAATTAATTAGCTTAACAATTAGACTAAAAATACAGGTTACCTAATTAAAGGTAACATTTATATTTAGCTTCTTTAAATATAAGAAAAGTGTTCTGAGAAAAGCCCAGTATTTAATTCCATTTAGAATGAAATTCTGTTTAAAAATGTGCTCTTTCACATACTCTGAAATATTGTAGAAAAAGAAAATATATACATTTACATGTATATTTATGATATAATTACAAAATGTTTGCCCCCAATCATATCAAAACCCAGTGATTTTAATGGCAAGTCATTGTATGTTTTGGTCTCCAAGAAGGGTATGCCACTGCTTGAAGGCAGTGCATGGGAAAACCCAATGAGGGTCGCTCCTCTTATTTCCTACCTCCATGATATATATATATATATTTGGTGCTTCCAACTGAAATTTTAAAAAAGGAGGGGGTGCGAAACTAGATGCTATAGAAAATTTCATTGTTCCACAGCTAATTGTTTTTGAGCTATGCCAGACGTACAGCCATTATGAAAAAAAATCCATTTTTAATCAATTTTACAATCCTTTTTTTTAAGGGGAAAAAATAATTTATTCTGTCTACATGTACACATGTCACTCACACACACACAAACACACAAAAATCATCCAAGTGGATTCAGGATAGGACAGAACGGATATTTCCAATGAAATATGATACCCGAACTTTGTGATAACAAACTTCCTTTACTTTGTACATTGAAGTTAAAGAGGAGGAGAGGAGAGAAAAACAGAAGAGAAAAGGACAAGTTTTTCTAATAGTTTTGCATATGTTTATTTTATATTCATATATTAAAAACAAAATCCAATTCCATAGTTACCACCCTATGTCTGAATACATCAATAAAATAAATTTGAAAGAAAAATGCTTAGGTTTAATCAGTGACCAGATATATTAGTTATTATAAAAAGTCAGTTCCAGATATATTACAACAATAATACTGCATACATACAGCTGGTTTTTTGCCTTCCTTTAAGACAGTTTTCCTACGAACATAACCTTGATAAGTTGCAACAGCATCGATATGACGTAAATTTATTTCTTGAGATTCACTGTAATAAAATTAATCAGCAATGTGAAAATTAAAAATAATAAACAGACATATAAATAAATATCTAGTCTCTCATACAGATAGGTAGTGAAATCAGAATAAACTACCTTATCAAAATAAAATATTACCTGCAATTTAGAGGGAGATGCTCCATCCATGTATCAAAATGATCATGGATATCTGAAAATAAATATGTACAAGATCTTTAATGAATGATACAAGATATAATAATTACTTTAATACATGAGAGGTGGAGTTTAGATTAATGTTTTATGAAACAAATATGAGTACAAGCTGTAAAGCATACAAATGTATTTAATTGTATGCTTCACAGCTTACATTTTCCCCTTGCATAATGCATTCTAAATATATATATAGTCTGAATATAAAATACTTAGCTAAAAACTGTCATACAGCTTTAAGATCATAACAGAAATTAAAAAAAAAAAATACACGTGTATGAACACACAGAAACAACAGAAGAAAATACTTGTGAACACTGTCCCACCGTATATATATGTGGTACTTTAAAGTGTAGGTGAAGGCTTCATGAAGCAGCTAACAAAACTGAATTGAAGAATCATCATCTTTATTTTTACACATTTCAAATCATCTCTTTGGCAGACACATTACTTTTCAATCAATTTTGAATACAATAACTTTTTATGTAACAGGAAAAGATACATTTCAGGCGGGGAAGTGTAGTGGCACAGCGTTGTTGGCATGGCAGAAGTCAAGAAATAAGGAATGTAGTTCCTCGCGAAGCAGTATTTATACTGCATAGGTACATGTGAATCTAAGGCGTGGTTGGTTAACTTTAGTTACCTTTTTCAAGTAGTGTTATATAATTTGGAAAGATCTCAAATTCAGGAGAAAGGATTAACTTAGAAGGAGAACATAAAATTTAGAATAGTCAATTTTAAGGTCTAACATAGCCATCATATTTTATTATATTTTACATACACAGACACATGATACATATACAAACATGTACATACACAAACACATTATATAAACAAGAGCTGTTTGACAGAAAATACTTGTGAACATTGTCCCACTGTGTATGCACGTGATTATAGATAGAGAGAAAGGTGTACACACACACACACAAACAAACAAAACACAATTTATAAACGAGAGTTGCCAATAGAAAATACCTGTGATTATATATATATATATATATATACACATAGAAACAGAGGTAGAGAAAGGAATTAAAAAAAATTTTTTTTTAATATAAATATACTACCTAAATCAAAGGAATAATTTCACCTTGGAAGCAAAAATATATTGCAATTAAATTATTTAAATACTAAAATAATAATCTCCAAAGTATTACAAAAATATGGAAAACTTTGCAAAAAGAAATTTGCAGAAATTTCTGAAAAAATGTTTTTTCTGGTTCTCAATTTTTTCTCTTGCATTTTCATAATACTTTGGAAGCTTATTATTTTAGTATTCAATATAATTCAACTACAATACATACACATACAAAATGGACTCTAAAAATTTGCTGTGGGTCATTCTTTTCCAACTACAATAAACAAACTGTAAAATAAAGATACTTATTATAATAGATTAATAAAAATCATAACTGCTCAATTACATATAAAACAGCTAACTGTTGCACAGATAACTAACTCTGAAAGACAAATTGCCAGTTAGTATAACAGTGCTTTTAACAGATCCTTCATATGTATGCATTAATTAAGAAAGAAAAAAGTTACTGTCTACAGTATAATAAATCTGTCAATTTATATATATATATATGTATGTGTGTAAGATATAATAAAATACGATGGCTAAGTTAGACCTTAAAAATTACTATTCTAAATTTTATGTTCTAGCCTTGTAAATACGTATACATCTAATATCGCATTCGCATTTTTCTAAAACTCAATATTCAAATCAAATAATAAAGAAATTTCGCTTACCTGTCAGACGCAGCATTGATTCTCACTTTCTGTCATTTTATCCAAATTTTATCGACAACATAATACATTTACAATAAAAGAAACACATATAATTTTAGTTTGACTCTTGCAACTCAATGTACTTTCATCTCTCAGTCAGCAATATTCTAAACTACTCAAAAAAATTCAGGCGCACACAGCATCATCTGTTGCAATACAGTTTCTACACCCCTTAAGTGAATCCTATCTCCCAAATTTGAGATCTTTCGAAATTGCATAACAGTGCTTGAAAAAGGTAACTAAAATTAATTAATCACAGCTCACATATGCACCTACGTTGTATAAATACTGCTTCACAAGGAACTACGTTCCTTTTATTCTGACTTCTGCCATGCCAATGCTATGCCGCTATGCTTCTCTGACTGAAATGAAGTCATATCTTTTTTCCTTTTATATAAAAATTATTGTATTCGACGATGATTGAAAAGAAATTTGTCTGCTAAAGAGATGATTTGAAATGTGTAAAAATAAAGATGATTCTTCAATTTAGTTTTGTTAGCTGTTTCCCCAAGCCTTCACTTACACCTTAAAATATCATATATTTGTACGAGATTTAGTGCTGGCAGTTTGATACACTCAGTAATTAGAAAATAACACCAACAAAGTCCTTTGTGAATTTAAGTTTTATTGTAACTCACTGCTCATTATTATTATTATTATTATTATTATTATTATTATTTTAATTTCTGTACTTTTTATGTATCAACTGAGAAGTAAAGAAAAAGTAAGCTGAAATTTAAAAGAATGAAAATCATTTTCTATACATAAAAAATACCTTCTATGCTTCCCAAAGACCGTTTCCGTGTAATTATAGGTGTATGTTCCAAAATACTATCATCAAGAAGATGCCTCTCTGAAGAAAATGTGGAACAGGAACTAAAATAATAAAACACCAAACAAATTCGAGAAAATTAAACAATAAATAAAAATTTAAATAAAAGAAAACATGGAACAAGAATTATAACAATAAAATACAGAATTAATTCTTCTGAGTCTCAAAAGCATTGAAAAAGTAATAAAAATCAAACATTAAATTTACCTCAATGTATCCACAGAAAGAGATGACATCACACTATAAAAGAAAAAACACCATTTCAGCCTTTTTTTAACATAGTGCAAAGATCTAGCTTATTAAAATAATCAGATTTAGGATAAATATTAAATACATTAAAATGTCCATAAAAGTATTCAAATGATTCTAAAATTACTTGGTTCCTAAACTCCATGCTTTTCTGTGAGTGGGAACAAATCTAGAACCATGACCAGGCATAGATCTTGAGGAACGAGCTTCCAAACTTGGAACACCTAATGAATTCCTGTTAGTTTTCAGATCTTCTGCAGCTAATGCACGCTGAGAACTAGGTTCTCTTAAATTTGGAGATGTTTCTATAGGTTCAAGCTCTAAAGATATTCTAAGAGATACAGAAACTAAAATTAGTACATATATAAGATATTGGTGGATTCAAAATTTTTATACAATGTTTCAAGAAAGATCAGGTTAGATTATACATATGGTTAAAAAACATGAGAAACAATTATTTTCAGCACTTTCTGATTAACCATACCCGCACAAAAAGTCACCAGCTCATTATCAACTTAAACTGATGAAAAATGCTTGATTAGCTAAATTAATGGCTTACAAGTACTGTCCTGTTCATTAATAATTAAAAAATGAGAAATTTTATGATTTAAAACCGAAATTTACATGGTTGATATTTACATCCTCTGACCTGGTAGCTACTGTTCAATGAAAGGAGATTCAAATATAAGCATACTGTTACGAAATGTCAAGGCACGTTATGATAGCTTCCCCGCAAAGCACTTTTAAGGTTGCCATAAAATGGCAAGGGAAAGCAGGGTCGATACATTTAGCAAGAAATTGCCCATTTGGCGATATGCCATGGACGGACTTAGACCAGAATGTTCTTGAACACAAGCCGAAAGCTATATAAACCCTCCCGGTATGCGGAGAGTCTGTGCTTGTTATTATCGAGTTGGTGTCTCGTCTAGGAGTAAATCCCTGCGGAGTCGATCGAGTTGATAGCCGGGCAGCAAGTGCAGAGTGGGCCGTCGAGTCTCTTAGTATATCGCAGTCATATATCATCGAGAGCGCGTGTTGAGCTCCAGGAACGGCTGAACCGAAGAGTCGGGAGCCATGCTCTGTGTGTCGTCGAGTACATCGCAAGTTGTAGTGTGGAGAGTCTCCAGAGTACGTGGAGTTCCGAGAACGACCGAGCAGAGTCGAGAGCTGTATTCTGGTGCTTTGCAGTAAAGCTGTCTCCACCGTGATAGCTTGATAACCTGAAAGCTGTGTTGCTGATCATGTCAGCTTGTTTATAACAGTTTGACGATGGTAAACGAGATTTTGGAGCTGTCCTGATTAATACTGGCCAATAAAGTGTTTTTCATCCGATATCATCATTATTCACTCCAAATCCACATGAACCTCGTACGAACGTAAATAACGTAACAATACTTTAAAAAAAAAAATTATGTTTGGATTAGTCTTTTTTATTTAATGGTTTCAGAGGTTTATTTGACTGTGGCAAAGCACTTGAGGGCTGTCTGCCTAAGAAGAAGGATGCCTTTCATTTTCCTTTTTTTAAGGAAACATGTACACAATATACATGAAGAAAGTCACAAAAAATGCCCATACAACCAGCCCGTTTACTGAGACGTGAACCTTGGACAAACTACCAGTATTCAGTAACTTTTAACACTCAGGAACTAGTGGACAGTCATTTATATTTAAAAGTAAACCAAAAAATAGCAATTTTATCGAATTTTGAAATTGGGGATGTGGATAAGCAGGAAATACCTTGTTTTCTTAATTCAAGCATTTAATAATAATAATAATGAACATAATTACTTTTATATTTTATGAAAGTTTCAAAATTTATATTTTATAAAGCGCATTTTTAACTATACCATTTTATTCTGCTCATCATCTTCCTAGACTTGCTCTATGCCCCTACTACTTACATAAGAAACAATTTAAATATAAGTTTAAACCAATGTAAAGGGTCAACACAGTGCTCATACTGGGAAAGAAATCTGATAAATTGCCTCCTGAGCTGGAATGGAGTTCGTTGGTTCAATTTTCTGTTTTGTAGTTCGGTCCTAAAAGTTCCAAGCATTAAATAGTGCAATAAAACCAATGGAAGATATCTTTATGGAAAAATGGAACAGAAGAAAATGATGGAATAATATCTTTGCATTTTCACAAAAAGGTAGTACAAATAATGCAACACAAATGAATGAATAAGTTAATTTTATAAACTGATGACTTTAGAATGTGATGAAAACACACAATTCCATATACTTTTAAAAATGTAAAAATGACATCACATGTGCCTGGAGCTCCCTCATAGGTCCCATAAAGTAGTAAAAGATCCATCTACTTCTGACAGAACATTAAGGCCCCAACTTTCCATGGTGGATGACCAGTGATCAAAGATATCAATGCTCAAAACTCCTTACTATGCTTGCAAAAAGGCTCAACCATGATATCTAGCTGGTCGTATCCACTCTTGTTATACAACTCTCTCTTGATAAATTGTTCTTTTAAAGCTGTAAATACCAGGTAAAATGTAAACTTGAGCTTTCAAATATCTTCTTAAAAGTACGTGAAAGAGAACCACTCGTTAAATCAAAAGAGAATGGACCTAAGGCATCCAGCAGATTTTTTTATGAGGGTATTTGACTGTTCACAATTTCATTTCAATTTTACCAGACATTCTATCCTAAAATGCATTTGTCTGTAGATTGCTAAAAGGATATCGTGCAAAAGACTAGAAACCAGCCAGTAGACGCATTGAGAAAAAGATGTACGTATTGATTAGAGCCAAGATTGCACAAATGTCTTAGAGAAGAATGTCTTAGAAATGTCTTAAATTTAAGATCTTGGAAACCAAAAAATTTTGACCCCCGAAGTCCCAGACACAGTGATGGTATCAGAAATTAACAATTTCAAACTCAGCATCAACTACCCTTTTCACCATGAAATAAATGTCAGATAAAAAAACTAAGCTGGTCGCACATATCATTACATTTTCAAAATAATTTTTTTATTTATTTAACATGCACATTCTCTTTTATAAAAATTTTTTACTCGCTGATGTGTAGAGTGCAGCATTTATAGTTACCCACTTTCAAAGAAGGACAACATTTACTGTACAGAGCAATAAGTGTAACTAAACACAGTTAGGCAAGTTAGAGTTTAGAATTCCCAAAATACGCCTCACTTCTTTAATGTGTCTCGAAATGTCCTCCATGACATGACAATCAAAGCATTTACCTCATTACCAAGAATATCTGGTGTGATGTGATATAGAATATCCCGCATTACGTTCCCAATCTTTAGATGAATTGCATTTTTAGGACTGTTAATATTAATCAGGTAAGGTGTGAATGAAAACTTGAGGTTTCAAATATTTCAGTAAAAATGTATGCTGAAGAAAGGTTCGAGGAAGTAACCATCAGACATTAAATTGCCAAAACCTTTCATTATTAGTTAGAACCCATTATTATTATAGTATTTTGGAAGTCCAAGTTTTCACTCACTTCTTACCTGGCATTAACCGCCGTAAGAATGCAAATCATCAGGAAACTGCAGATGTTGTGCTGAATACATCTATCATAACAAAGGTATACCTAGGAGATTGATAGCAATGTCTTGTTAATCCCGCATTAAAAATGTTAGGTCTATTTTGTAAATCCAAGACACTTACATGTTGTGTGCAATAAATGTATTATCCTACTTTATAGAAAATGGACTATATGTAACCTCTAGAAAATCATCTCGCAGCTGAATGAATCTACAGTTTTAAATGTGGGAAATCAGAACAGGTGCATCACAGTGACGTCAGATTACTGTCAGGTAAGTATCTCCATTAGGCTTGCGTCGATGAGGAGTTGAACAAAGGAATAAACTAGTCCCTTTCTATTTATCCCTGGTGCCCTCAGAAAGCCACTTGAAAGCAGCTTCTAAAATTTTTCTTTTCTCTATTTTTTAACACTTTAATACAATTTTCTATGAATATTATTTTGTTCTTCAAATTATCAATGCATTCTTGTTTAGCCTTAAACTTAAGGCGTTCAGGAATATCTATCTATGTTTTCATTTGTGAGTTTTATTTCAAAATCATTAACATTTGATTTATTATTGTCATCATCAATTTTGATTTATTACCGTCATCATCAATTTCAATTTATTATTATCATCATAATTTACTTTCAGCACAGCATTCCATTTCAACAGTTTCTTTTTGTGGCTATCCAAACAAGCAATTTTTCATATCATCTTCATAAGCACTGTATAGAAAATGTTCGCTGCAGATTTTTCCACTCTTCACATTAATAGAATCTTGTCTTTGACATTTGTGTATCCATTCTTTCATCAAAAGCAAATTCTCATTTGAGTCTTTTGGTCCCATGAAATAAAATATCTCATCCTTTTGTGCTTCTGTAAGTGCTACGGTACGTTACTACAGCGCAGAAAGCCATATTACATAAACGATACTTTACAATATAGAATTTAAAATAAAACTGACAAAATTATATATATATAAATTATTTTAAAATTTACATTACAGTAACTGGGACCTCTAGTCGCCGCTGAATAATCATCAGAGTTACTGTCGGGTAAGTATCCCCATTAGGCTTGCATTGATGAGGAGTTGAACAAAGGAATAAACTAGTCCTTTCTATTTATCCCTGGTGCCCTCAGAAAGCCACTTGAAAGCAGCATAAATGAAAATGCATGTACATAAAGACCCAGCACACATTTTACGTTGCTGAATCCCACTCTACCCTTCAGAATCCAAATGAAACAGTCCAAAGTTCAGGCATCATATTCTCTTTTACCTTGGTATAATGGACACAGGGTGCCATATGTTAGAATTAAAAATATTTACATTTTGTTCCATGTGATTGTCATGTATACATTACAGCTGCCTAACTAAGCACTAAACCTCTGAGATGTAGATATCACACTCATCCAAAAAGGGTTAAGGCATTAAATAAAAGTACAATAACTACTTTCTTTAACTTGTTTCTTAAAAGTATAAAAATTTATGAACCATTTTATATGTTACAAGATAAAAACATGCACCAATCTCTGCCTTTTATTAAGTGGTAAAAAATTATATTTCCTAACTCAATAATTACAAATAACATAAGTTTAAATCAAGTTAATCAGAAAACTATAATAATATATAGAAGTTTGCTTAAATTTTTATGATCAGATCATTTATTCTATATGCCTCACTGTAACTTAAAAAAATTATAATTTTATTTAAATATTCATTATTTCCCTTATTTTTATTACATTTTCGATCATATTATTATATATACTGAACTTGAGTCAAAGCAGAAAATTTCATTATGTTTTATCCTATTAATAAATCCAGATTTTTTAAAAATATTATATTTCTATTAACGCAAACTCATATATTTTCTTGACACCAAAAATGCACATGTGAATACATTTATGTGAAATACCATGTGAATATATATATGTGTGTGTGAATATACATTTATGCACACATGAATATCACACTTACTTAAAATTATCATCTTCAACAAATTTTTGAAGTTCATCAATATATCTCACGGATTTTAAATAGTTCTGAATGTGAGGTAGAACAGGAAGATGGTCTGCAAAAAATATATTTATGATAAGTTACTTTCAAAATGCATATTTTTACATGATATTTAGAAACAAATAGTATTCTGGAATAAAGGCACTGACAAATATTAAATAAAAAATCTATAAAATCATACATGTGAAATATGGAGTTATATAAAAATAGTTCATTGCAAGCCGAGACACAGTCAATCGCAAGGTCCAGGCGAACAAGAAAATAGCTTCGAGATAAAAGTAGTCGTAGTAGATTAAAATTTGTTCAAGCAAAGAAACACAAAGCATATCAAGACGGAACCAAATGTTCACCATACAAAGCTATGTTTGGTTGTCCTATCAAGCTGAGACTTGCTAACTCAGTTTTTCCACATAATTTAACCAGTGAAGAAGAATTAGAAAAAATTATAAATAACCAACAACTAGTGGAAGTACCCGATGCCAATTTTTTTTGGGGGGGTTGACTTAAAATAGACGTCAGCAAACTCTGACCTTCCTTCTTTTTGTATGGTTTTCAAGTCATGTTTTACTGTAGAATTTGTTGTTTCTGTAGTCAAGTAATTTAAAATACAGTTACCACTACCTCTTTTTTTTTTAACTCCTACTTCTTGTAACATTAAAAGTTATAAGAAAAAGAACCATATCCATACACATCTGCAACATATATACACAGCTCAATGTCAAAGTAACCCCAACCACAAGAAGTGAGCTATAAATATATATATATATATATATATATATATATATATAAAGTACAAATCCTGGCAAAGCATGAAGCTATCAATCTACAATTAATAATCTATATGCATGAGATATCGGTACAAGTAGTTACACAGATGGTATGTTTTTGAAAGTGGAAGTCTCGAAGCTATTTGAGACATATCTATTTGGAAACAATTCAATAATATCCAATTATGTCAACACGTTTTTAGCGGATTTATCATTTAGAAGCTTTTCAGATCTTGATGGCCTATGTAGTGTGGCAGGGCATACGAAGTGTTGAGCCTATAGGCACCAACAGTAACACGAAAGCTCTCGTACATTTATGCACACGTGAATACATAATCTCATACATATCGCAGAGGTAGCAAACATTCCAATATGACAAATGTGCAAGTTTTTCTTGAGAGGCAGATTACTCTCACATAGTGATTGCTACAGCAAGGCATAATGGGGAAATAGTCAACATGCTGTCTTTTTTAGTCATCGATATTGCTATAATGAATGACTACATAAAATGAAAATTACAGTAAGCTAAGTAGTGCAGTCAATATTACAACAACAAACTCTCACTGAAACCCATAACAATGATGGCTTGGCTTAAAGCTGAATTAACAATATTATCAGATGAAAATTTTCTTCAAAGCTGAACATGATGAGTGCTAAATGAAGAGACAAATTCATAAATGTTTTTTTAGTAAATTTTTTCCTCCATTTAATTTATAATAATTAATTTTTTTTAACAGCTATTGTATAACAGTAATTTAGAAAAAACCACAAGTTAACACTTGGCACGCGGTATACTTCGCCACGAACTTACGTGTGCAGCGGGCGTTTTTTCGTGAATCGCGCGGAAGTATGGTTACTCAGGAAAATTGCAGTAAATCGAAAATTACTTCATTTTTATGAACGAAACTTTTTTATTTTACACTTAAATATATACTATATGATTATTTAACAAAAGAAAAATGATATTTTTACGAAAACGCAAAAAGTAAACGATTTTTAAAATTTTACAATGTATTCAAAAATATTTTTTCATAACAAGTACAAGATTCATAACAAGAACTGATAACACGTTAATAGTTTTTTACAGTATGGTACCGTTCAAAGCATTTTCCTCTATGTAGAGGAACACAGCAGAAGCTACATATGAAACACATTTCACTTTGCACTTTTTTTACTGTGCACACGCGACATTGTCTTTGCGGGTTTTTCTTCTTCCCGGTAGCAACAATTTTTTCCAATACGTGTTTGTGTATATCCATGGACAATCTTTCAGGAGGGTCGTGTTTTGATATCATTTGCTCTGGTTCTTCAGTGCAACATATGCATTGAAAAATGCACAATTCATCATATTACATAGCTAAGCGCTTTGTCCCACTTCACTGTTTTACGCAAAATACTATAGTAGGACAAATACTGATCGGCCCGATCTACTCCTTTCATGTACTTGTAGTCGATCAAAGCATGTGGCTTTACAATTTTTTGTCTCTTGATACGATCAACGTTACTACTTTCTTTCATTTCCACAGAATGGATTAAAGAGATTGGACTGACTTCTTGGATTGCCAAACTTATAGCAATATATCATTTTTTATTCGAAAGATTGTTTCTCCTTTTTTCAAATTAGTTTTTTCAGGCACTCTGGTAGACCTCTATTCTTCCTAATCGTTCCGCAAATTCATATTTTTTTTTGTAAAAGGGCTTCCGTGTTATCGTCACTGTTGTAGTAATTGTCCATGTACAAATGGTGCCAGACATCAGTATATGGCGAAACTACTGCGAGTATTGTTTTGATCAAACGTAATCCTTGAGTTGCATAAACTTCAAAATTGCGAATATGCCCAGTGTCACTTTCAGACAATATTCATATGAGTATGCCATATTTTATAATTTTTCCAGCGTTGTAAACTCTAAAAAGCAATCATCCTCTCCATTATTATTCATTAGGTATTATGCCCTCATCTAACGATACTTGTTGTTTCGGTTTGTAAAATGTTATTGAATTTTTCAACAAAATAATTTAGTATAGGCCTGACTTTGAATAATCAATCAGAACCATCCGTGATGTCTTCATTGTTATTGAAATGGCCATATTTGGTGAAATCTATCCCTTGACATTGTTTTTGGGAAAAAAAAAACGGTGTACTTGTGCAGACAGTTGACCAATAATCGTCTCGGGCGTCTTTACGAACTTGTCCCATGAAGATAATAAGCCCCAAAAATTTCTTCATCTCCGGAATCGTAATATCTCCCCATTTCATGCTTTTGGGCAATATTTTGAACTGATTAATATTTTGATAATAATACCAGTTTGATTCCACGTCTAAATATGCAAAAAAGTCATCGCCTATAAATAACTTTACTGCATCAGCTGTGGATTCAGGAACATTAGCAATGTTAGTTATTCTAGGATGACCCAAAAACTCTTCAAGGTCTGGAGGATTGTCAATCGATGACCATTCATCTTCTTCTTCATCAGAAGTTGTTTCAGAACTACTAGAAATTCTTCTTTGGACGAACACTCGAGAACGTGGAATAATGTCATCAACGTCACTTTCTTCGATATCTTAACTTTCTGAATCACCATCATATGAAAAGTTCGATAATCTGTCAGCGCGTATTTCTTCATCACTATCTTTGTCACAATGGTTCATTTTATCAATTTATTTAATCAATAATAAAAAAACAAGCTTCAAATTGACAAAACACGACTTGTACGTTCTGGAGCTAAGAATTCGATTGAAGATGAAATAACTGGACAATCATAACTTGTTAAAAGAAAAAAAGCAAAGTGTTGCCTAGCAACGCAAATAACACCCATATAATGTCACACATACATATAATTATACGTATTTAATAGATTTGTGGTGGTTAGCGGGTATCCACCACAAATCTACTAAATACGTATTTTTACGTGACCCGCGCTCCAGTGACAGACTGCAAAAAACGTAAAAATATGTTGCCTGCATGCCAAGTGTTAAAATACAGAAGAATTTTGAGAACTAAATTTAAAAAACAACTTAATAATAATTAATATTTAAAAATGTACCTCCTGGAAATACTTTTTTTACAACCTTTTTTTCAAGTTATTATTCGTCAGTCAATTTATGATAAAAACTAACCGTAATTAGATTGCTGATAATCGGCTATAATTCGCAAAATATTATTCATCTTCATCTGCCGCTGATGATTATCCAGACCTTGGGTGGGAGGATGTGCTATATCAATGAAAACCAAGTCCATAAGGAATAAACCTAAAAAAAGAAGAAAATATACACAGATTAATAACAAATGAAGATGGTGGTTTCAGAAGGCACAGGTACTAATTATATTTAAAATGCTTATGTTATTAATTTAAGCCTGTAAATTTACACATTACAAATGCAACAGAAATCCATTCTCTGCGAAATCAAGAAAACTGGTTATAATAAAATCTTTATTCAACAAGAATGTTCTGTTCTAAAACCACATTATGTTATCAAATATAGTACACTTGAATGATAGTTTACAGTTAAGTTTTTCATATATTTTATACGCACCCTACTTAATCCCATAAATTTTACTGCAAAAATTTCCAGACTGCTATCCTAATCTGCAATATTCAAATAACACACAATAAATTTTTATTTAAGTCTTACGGTAATTATTGGTAAGAACTGAATATGTAGCTTTTAAACAGATTAAGCAACAGTTCTGCACATACATGGGCTCTTAAATATTAGAGAAATGTTTTATTAACCTTACTTCACTATCCAATTTTCTTTCAACAAAGTGCAATTTCACTTGCCAATAAAAATTTTACTACAGCAAACATAATAGAAAAGCATCTTCTTTTTCTGCCTTCGCATCTTGGATGAATCTTTCAAAAGAGACGCCTAAAACTACTAAACATAGCACCTAGAACTTTTCTACATATATTAAGAAAACCTTTACGAAGCATCTGAGCACCACTGCCTATTGAAAGTAGGCATTTCCAGATAGGAATATCTTTAACATGAAAGAATGTATCTGGTCTAAAGCAATGTTTAGGTATTAATAGATGAGAAGTTTTATTTGCAAGTGATAGGCTAACACCACAGTTTAGTAAAACATTGTTTAAAGCATTGTACTCGTCCAAGCAGCTTTTTGCCTCATGGCACATTCATATTTAAGCAAAACATAACTGCACAGCAAGTGCAGAGAAAAATCTGATTTTGTAATTAAATACATTTTTCCGATTATGGCTCAAGAGTACACTTCCATACATTTTGCTCATATTTTGATTTCAGAGCTGAATTCAGTGTAACTGTACTTTATAAACACCATTTTTCTTTATGTATGCAATGAAACTTAAGTGGTACATCTGAAAGGTGATTTCAGTGGCTACTGACAAAACACTAATAACACTGCATTAAAAACAAATATTGTTTCATAATTAAGGGTTGAAAAATTAAACATGGGAGTAGGGTGCAAACAATGTTCATGAGACTACTAAATTCATCAACCCAATTATTAATATTGTTAAAATACTTACAGCTGTTTTTTATATAAATAGTATCCAAGAATGGTTTTACAATTTTATTATTCCATGAATCGGGGAGTACATCTGCAGAATGCTGCAGCAAGTTTTTATATCATTTAAATGCTTAGTTGTTTTTTATTTAAGCAGTATCCATAGACGATTTTACAATTTTATTATTGCATGAATGGGGAAGTTCATCAGCAGAAGGCTTTATTAAGTTGTTATATCATTGAAACACTTACAACTGCTTTTTATATAAATAGCATCAACGATTTCAATATTTTATAATTCCATGAAATGGCAAGTTTATCTGCAAAGCCGCAGTGGTTTTTCATCTGATATCGTAAGTCAGAAGAAAAAAAATTATAATTGAAAAGGAATGTGTAAATATCACTTATATGTCTTAACAAAAGTAAACAATGGGAAACTTACCCAAATATCACTTATGTAGCAACCAATCATAAGGATAGATATTTTACCTGTGTATGCTGGTTTGCCTAAATGCATTACATCCTGAAGCCAATAATTCCTTATACAATGACAAACACTCTACTGTGCATAAGATTATAACAGGAAATGAAATTTATTAGAAAATAACGTTTCTTTGAGTTCAATTCCCAAGCCTACTGCACGAATTTCTGTTACAGAATTGAGATCAATACAAGTATCTGGCTTGTAGCCTTATTTTCAGTACTATTAACTATTTTAAAATTGTGATACATGCCTCCTGTCACCAGCAGTAAAATTACTTGCGAGTTGTACAAGGATGACTACCTATTAATTTAAAATAAAAGACATAACTTTGAGCACTGACTCAAGAATGATTTACAACTTGGTAATTATGTGGTGTATGGCTATCCTAATTTGACTTTTATCAAACTTCATATCCTAATTTGGCTTTACACAAACTTACATAGTTTTATTATCTTATTTGACTTTTTATTTGTAAGTTCAATGAATTTCCCATGTCAACGTTTTCTTATAATTGCTTTCACATGTATTTTACTTGCAATTTATGTACTGTAATTCAGACTTAATTTTCTACCAAACTGAAAGATATAGATAAATACAAGAAACTATGAAAGTTAGGTAAGTTTGATTCGAATTTGATGCACTATTCAAAGACCGAAATCCGGATGCCCAATATTGCCAACCAGCAATTTTCTTTTGAAATAGGAAAAAAAAAGTAGGTGTGCTACTGAAAATTCCTTGTACAGTTTTCTATGAAAATCTGAAAAAAGAAAGCACTTTCACCTCTGAAAAAGTGGCCTGGTCAAGCACAGGAGTAAGTTTGACTGGTGAGAGAGGCAGGCATCCAGGCTTGAAGGGTGTGAATTGTGCAGAGTGCTCGGCACATGACCTCAAGAAGCAACTAGGAGCTTTGGATTATTGTTTAATAAGCAACAGCACAAAATTGAGAAATATACTTCTTAAGGCAATAAGGTAGTGAGTTCAACTTTAAGTCCAGAATTAAAATAATTACTTATTTCCTTTCAACACATGAGACATCATCAGACGATGCCACTTATTTAGTACCTTTTCATTTTCACTTCACTTCATTTCACCGAGCAATTACAATATTGACTGATGTCAGATATGACCACATTTCCAGCCCTTGTATACTTGTGAAGGGAGTGGGAGTGGGAGAATGTTTTCCTATCTGACCTAAATAATAAGTAAAGCACAAAAACATATTTATTTGGAGTAGGATATTGCTCATACAGGTTTTCTTTTGCTGGCAGAGTAACTGGAAGGACAGAAAGAATTAGATTCCTAAAAACATTATGTTTGGTTAATGTCACAAATTGCACTTTTCCTAAACTCCCTAATTTAATTCAGTTTACTATTTTTTGGAGGATATTATTATTACAACTATATTAGGAAAATTAAAGTTTGAATTTTTAATTATGTTGAAAAGAGTTTGATCCTGGGTCTGTAGCAGGATTTGGTACTTGCCTTTGATTGCAGCTTTGCTGCAATTTAGCCTTAGGAAAGTGTGATTTCAAAATCTGAAAAAATAAAAATCTTAATTCTGATATTGGTTTTTAATGCTACAGAAGGAGAAATTTTCAGTTTAATGCTAGCTGTTAAAAATATGGAGAAGTGATAATAAAGATAATTGCAAGGACAATGCTCAATTAGCAATAAAATAAGGAATGGCAAAATCTGCTATGCAGTTTTAAATCCAGAAAATGTCACTACCAATAGTGAAGGAAAAGACAAAGAAATTTTTAGAATGAAAAGATTTTGATAGTTTAATGAAAATTCTTGAATTTTCGATTCCCAAAAATTCTCGTATAATGAAAATTTTCTCCTTAATGAAACATTTCTCAGCTAATCAGGAAAATATAAAACTGAAACAATAATAGCCATAAACAATTGTTTACCCCCAACTTATACCGATTTTAAGACTTGATATTAAAAAGAAACACAGCAGAAATTATTATACATGATACTAACCTAAATATGGAATACAGGGAAGCTTCAAATTTGTCATATGATCCCTTAATTTTTCAAAGTTGTTGTTATCTGAGAAGACATCAGCCAACTTATCAAATGTGCTTTTTTCCTTCTTTGTAAGTTGCTGAAGAAATAAAAAGAAAAATGTCCATTACTATGAAAACTATATTTAAAGAGGATAAATAAAATTCATCACATAGATTTAGGTGGTTTTTTGCTATAATAACTAAAGCTATTACTAAAGAATATGCAGTCTCAGCTGCATATTCTCAATGTGACTGACAAACTGGGGGGGGAAGCAGAAAAGACAGTTATGTTTAATTATTTTTGTCACACAAAAGGTAGAAGAGAACATCTCAAAATTAATGGAATTATTTTAAAACAATTATGGTACATGTTTTAGTCCTCATCAAATATACCCCACCAGTAACTTTTATATTATAAACTTTTCCAAACCTTTTTTAGCACTGCTAATAACACAGAAACAGTTCTGGATATTGACACAGAATATCTTTCAAAACATGCAATATATTTCCTTGCATATCTTCTAGATCAATGTACTCCTTTTTTTCTATCTACTGAGCTGCATTTTGACAGCTACAGCTTTTTTTTTTTTACTTTGGAAACAGAAAGTCACACTCAGCAAGGAGATAATTTGATAAGCAGTATGAGTGAGAATCTGCTTAATGGTCTTGATTGATCTTCATTGATAGCCTTTTGAATGTTTTCACAGTCTTCCTCATTTCTGCTCAACATATTCCTAACAGTCTCCATTTGACCATTTTTTATTTACCATTTTTAATTTGAAAATCACCTGCACACTTGTGATTTGCTCAAAGCATTATTTTCAGAGGTTTGCCAAAGAGTAACTACAGTCTCAGATGCAGGTTTTCTAAATTATATATATGGGAATAATAAAACTTTTAACTAATGGTCTGACAACAAACAGCAATACTGTACACGTTTTACAGAACAACTTTTGAAACTGGCAACAATGAGAGTTCAGAATTCTGAAAATGTATGTATGGTAGCTATACATACATATTTGTAGTTCGTATGTAGTTTCATCCATTAAACATTTTACGAGACAAGAATGTTATAATTCACTGTGTGTGTGTGTGTGTGTCAAACTCTTTATTCTTAAGTTGTGTATCACAAAAAAAATCACAGAATATGAGCAGGAATATGTAAAACATCACAGAGGATAAACCACTCTACTTAGACTGAACTGCATGGAGAAAAAGCATGAGAAGTCCTAAGGTAACGAGGTATGTAGGAAGTAATAAGATACTTACAAAATGTTGAAGTACAAGGTTGTCATTCCACTTATTTTTTAGTACCCCAATTTATTTATAATATGCTCTCCATCTTTTCCTTTCTTGACACATATGACAGATATTAATTTCTTATTTTATGGCCTCTCAACATAAAAATATATTTAACATACAGATTGCAATAACACTTGAAAGTTTCTCACCCCGTTATTTTGGCATGTTTGGTACAGGAACAAAATAAGTATGAAAAATCTAACATAATGTGAGACTTATGATATGGGACGTTGTCCTGCTGGAAGATTCCATTTCCATTTGGGAAGACAGAAGCTATGTAAGGGTGCTACTGATCTGCAGTTATGTTCAGATAGTCTGCAGCTTTCATGATCTGTTCTACCCCAACTAAGGCTACTATCACATACGATATTTGTTGCCGAAACATAATGTTAGAAGGAACAATTCTGGGAAGTGAGCTAATGTGAAATCGGGTTACCATCTTCACTTGGTAAACAGGCTGAAAGCCAAACAAGAATCAGTTATTGCTCAGACTGGTGAAAGTAACTTTTTTTCATGTGATGATTGCTCTTACGTGTTGTATTTTGTGTCGCTCACACTAATTTTCGTTTTAAACTTTATTGTTAGTTATGGAAAATAATAGAAAGGTAAAGGCTATAAAGTAAATCACTTTTATCTCGACTCTGGTGATTCTGACAACTGAGGAAGAAAGGACGTGTTACAACCTTCTTCCGTGAGCTCGTGTTTCGTCTCTTTATTTAAAATTGGTTTCAAGCAGTTCTTATCTCAACACACTAAAAGGCACACTCTGGTTTTAGGAGATTATAAAAATTCTGTTGTCATTCCCTTCTTTCCATCAATTAGCTATAAAGTTTCACATATTTTGCAGAAATTTAACTTTCGGGTCGATTATTCTTCCATCAATAAAATTCCGAGTTCCATACTCAAAGACCCCAATTCCGGATATGAATTCCTTAGGTATTTATAGGATTCCCTGCCAGTGTAGTTTAATTTACATTGGCCAAAATAAGACAGCCTTAAAATTTCGCGTGAAGGAACATGAGACATATGTTAGGAAAAAGGAAACATAAAGTCTTCTGCTGCCCAACATTGTTGGTACGAAAATCACACTTTCAATTTTTCTGCTGCCAAAATTATTCAAAAAACTTCTTCCATTGCAGTACTGGATTTTCTAGAGGCATTTCACATTCAAAAAAATCTTTAACGATCCTAATTCCAATCCATCTTTGCCTTCGGCCTTTAAAGAAATTATGTTTTAGTTCTGGTTTCATCAACAGATGGCGCCACTAGCTTATTTTCTGTGCAGGCTTTCTTATCTTATCTGATCATTACATCCTATCTCGTTCATTTGCGCTTTTGCAGCAGACGATAGTGGTTCGGTAAAACCATCGAAACTAGTCCTGTGAAAATTTGAAAATATAACGCTAATTTTTGTTGACTTCTGAATTAGTATTTGTTTGGCATGTTATTTTGTCTTAATTTTTGTTTATGTTGCTATGTAATGTTTACTATTGCATTGATGACTTAGTTGTAAGTTTGGCTTCCTGTCTAGGGATTGCACTGCCCGGGACGGGCAGTCCTTAGGAAGGGGGCAGTGTTACGATTTTTGTAATGATTTATTTTAGTTTGCTATTTTTAACAGAATTGTTATTAAATTATTTCATTTCCCCATGCAATTCTGCACGCGACTTATTTGAAGAGAAAGTCAAGCCAGAAAAATTAAAAATATAGGAGCATGTGCATTTAATAAATAGATATCTCGTAAGTGCACGCTTTTGCTTTTGGGGAAAATACCAGAATATACTCGTGCTTGATTTAAAAAGCTTATAAAAAGGAGGAAAAACCTCTCAATTCAGTAGTTGTTTTAGGAGTTTTTAGAAAACTGCTGCTGTTTACTGTAGCAAATTTGCGGTGAAATCGAATTATCTTTGTTTTGAATTACGTTCTGTTGAATGTTTGAGTAGTTTAAAAGATAACTACTGTGAGATATTGCAATACTATCTGTGGAAATTGAAGAATTTTGCTTTATTTCTTGTGACAATAATAAATCTTATTCCCTTTTCATCGGACTTGTGCATTCAATTTATTACGAACCCATACGTTTGCAACAGTATAATAAACACAAGCTAATATTTAGAACAAAATGTTCAAGATCGTTATCCTGATAGAACATGAATATATTTTGCATTCCAAGTTTTCTATCAGATGCATTTAGATTTTTGTTGAGAGTATATATATATTTATGCCGATTCATATTAATTTCTATAAAAAGCAAATTTCCTATCCCAGACGAAACATTCAAAACCATTACGCTTTCACCTTTAAGCTTAACTGTAGGCCAAACGTTTTTTGTATTCTGTTTGCCTTTTGCCTCACAGCAATTTGTCCATTAAATTTCGATTCATCTGCAAATGTAACTCGTGCGATATTTCAGTATGATAAATCCTTGTTTATTATGGATTTTGCGAAAGCCAGTCGTACTTTCATCACTATCTTTTTGAAGAAGCAGTTTGTTCTTGCTCATCGCTCCTTGTATCAGTGTGCCCTAATGGCTCTTCTGATAGCTTCAGGTTCAGACTTCCTTGCAAGCTGTTCTTCAAAATTCATTCTAAATTTTATTGCACTAATTTTTGGGTTTAGTTTGATTTTTCTTAGGATAGATCTAACATTCCTTTGTGTTAATTTTGAATATGTTGCAGACTTCAGTGCATTTTACACAGTTCTTTGCAGTTTCCATCCTTTTAATATTTCAGACACAAATGGTCGTTTTGAATCTCAAACATGTTTTGAATATTTGTATAATCTTCAAAATCATGAATAGTTGAATTTCAAACAGAATTTGTCATAATTTTGTAGCGTCTTGCCAAGTTCACTTCAGATATGAAACTATTCATATATTTTGGTAAGCAAGTGATTTCCAAATGCAGATACCAATTCTTAGAACGTATTTTTATTTAAAACAAAATATACCACAAGAAACGTTTTCCAGAAAATATCAACAACAGTTTCAAATGTCCGAATTACTGTGCGAGTTATGGATTAACAACCTCAGAATAAATAATTTAATTCAACGATCATTTTGATTACACTTATAACTTGTAACAAGCAAATGTTAAAATTGAGGAAATGAAATATACTAAAAAAATTAGTTTATATTTCAATATTTAGTACAAAATCTATGGAAATAAATTTCAAAAATACAAGTGTCTGAAAATAAATATCAACCCTTTTATGTATGAAATATAATGATCGAATTCTTTAAATTTATCGCATGCATTAAAATGTCTTAAGAAATCTGATATTAAAAGTAAAGTAACGAGACTTATATCAAACCATTATGCTATTAAGAATGTTTTGACAAATACGATTGTATTACTTCAAACAACTAATACGCTTAATATTAGAAAGACTAGATATGATATTTTTCAATGATCCATGTTCAGATGAATTTTATTCGGTCTCTACATAAATCACAAACAGTTTCAAATTACTACTTTAGAAATGCAACCAATCTAGTCAAATCGGTATGGCACGAAACAGTATAATAGTACTTGCAAATAGTATGGACCGGCATAGAAAGGTAAAAGATGATAGTAAATACAATAAAAAGTATGTTGGCTTGTTTCCTTAGTTTCAGTTAACACTTGAGGAGCTAAAATTTTGAGAGCTAATTTTTTTTTAAAACTACTCGTGTGATTTTTACAAAATTTGACAGTTTGGCATAATTTGAGTCGTAGAATCGAAATATGGAAAGAAATTGGCATATCATTTCAGAAAAAGTCTGATTTTGTGTCAAAATTCCTACATTAGAACAATTACAAAATTTCTCGACTTCTCCACATGTTTAATATTTAAGTCATTTTTTCACCTATCAGTAAAATTCATTTTTCAATTCTTAAAGATCTCATAAGTGCTTTTATTTTTTGTGTAATTTAGCATTGTTTGATATGTATCGTGTTGTTTGGAATATATTGGGCAAACTGAAAAAGCGTTGAAATTTCTCGTCAGAGAATATGATATAATTTTCGAAAAGAAAAAAAATTTTGTTAGCTAAGTACGACGGTCACTTGATTACATTTCAATATGGGATCTTCAAAAATTATCCGCAAAGCTTCTTCATTTAATCAACTGGGTTTCTTTGAATACTTTCACATCATTAATAGTGTTTCTTGTTTACTTAATGATATTAATTTTCCAATTTCGCTCTTCCTAATGCTTTCAAATTTCTAATACCTTTACATTTCATTATTATTTTACTCAACACACCATGCTACATTCTTACCCTTATAAAATCGTTTCGCTCCTCTCACTATTGAAATTGTACAAATTGTACAAGGCAGTCATTGAAATTAAACCTAAAGATGAAATTCAGCGGTTTTAAAGCCTGCTCGAACTTGCACATGCCTGTTTTTACATACTTTCATACACAACATTGAGTGTGCATACATGGTCTCCACTACGCATGGATAATCCACAAACCAAATAATCTACACCCAGATAATTCAGTATACTGTATCTTCATATTTTGTTTTTTAGATTATAAATAAAATGAATAAGTATATTTTCATACAATAGTATGTACATTATACATTTAAATAAATGCAGAAAAATATGCAAACGTGTTTACTACTTACTGCCCAAGTCTTTGCTAACCTAAAAATAGGTGCACTTCGCAGAGCTGAAATAATTGCAGATTCTGAATGTAAATTGTTTAATTCATGTAATTTTTTAGCTATTTTGATAAAATGTGCTATGATGTCAGCTCTTGCTTTGGGAGTTTGGCCAGTAAGGATTTCTTTCACAGTCCAAAAACTAACCTGAAATAAATTAACAGCATTAATTTTAATTATTAATCTCCCTATTATGAATAAAATGTATTTCTTGCACCCCCCAAATGACATTTTTGATTATCAGCACCCATGGATTCAACAGAACTGTCAACAGCTTTTTGGCATGCGTTGAGTATACATGTAACAACAGCCCTCCCATGCATGCACCACATATATGGATTTACATACTTTAAATTAAAATATCAATTTGATGAACAATTGACACCCGCAGTAGAAATATAAATATTGGCCACACAGATTTCTTTAATACAAATTGCTTATGAAATTTCTTATTTTTTGTAATATACATCTTTTTATTATCATTTATGAACAAAACATTATCTAAGCTGTAAGGATGATAAACAAAAATTTTTCATTTATTCACTAAGTCACCAATAAATTGGCTTGTGGATGCAGATAATGAGAAAGTACCAAAGATATTTTTAAAAAAATTTAACAAATAAAATTTCATAATGACATTCTAGCTCTATGTTATGAAAAGTTAAAAATACTTACATGATTGAATCTTTGAGTAAAAGCTACAACATTTGGGGCATATGTCATTTTTTCTTTTTTATTCCAACAGCAACTAGATAATTCCTAGAAGAAAAGGAGATTTTAGCAAACATATTATAAAATTAAATAAAATTTTTGTTTTACAAGATTTAATTCTCAGATCCCTAGCACTTTACAACAATTTAGATTTCAGCACATAATTGTTACAAATTTTAAACTACAAGTCAAATTAAACAACTATTTTTTGAAACTAAGAACTATAAAATATTTGGCTGCATTTATACAACTAATGCAGGGGCCTGCTGAGTACCTGCCCAGGTGGACCATGCTAATCCATTCACATTTTATTTTCATTTCTGCAAGTGGTAACTATAGGGGCCCCTGCATACTGGATTGCTCAGAGGTCTATTGTCAAAGGCACTTCTCATTTTATAGCATAGACAACTAGTTAAAAGGTTAATTGAACAAGATCAAACGATAGTTTATTTATTATCATTCCTGTGATAAGACTTAGAAAATGACAATTGTAGACAAAATTCTGAAGAGATTAAAAAAATATATTTAATTCATTCATTAATTGTACTTCAATGACAGTTGGATGAAGTGGACATAAAGTCCCATTTTGCAGTGGGAAATTTCCAGAATTCTAATGTTTATTGTTGAATTTGTATTTAGTGAAAAGCCTTAAGTTTAGTATCACATTAACATCCTTATGTTAATGTTAACATCCTTATGTTAATGTGATACTAAACTGGAAAATTATATACACTGGTCGATCATTGTTAATTACTATATACAGCTTCACACATATAATGCTGCAAAGATACCACTGAACAATAACGACTTACATCAGCAATATTACATATGAAACAAGATTCTCAAAAGTAAGCGTACACACTTAAGAGGGAGAAAAAAAAAAAAAAAAAAAAGCAAAGCTTGCCACAAATACATTTTCAAGACTTATACTAATATGCTTAGAGAAAAATTCACAAAATCAGCAACAAATGACGATACAGAAGGACTGGCAAGTTCAGAACAAATGAATATTTAAATTAAATCTCAAGACACAGGTGCCAACCTTGAAATCTTACAAACAGGGAGGAGGTTCCTGTAATGATACAAAGAGAAAATGGGAGGTTTTTCATGCAGTACAACGAGGATGTCAAACTCGCGGCCCGGCCAATATATCAGCAAATAATAATATATAATAATAAAATAACATATCGACGAAGAAAAAAAACGAAATGTTTACTGCTAAGTAATTAATGATAATTTATTCAGTGTTATATTGTTAGATTACTAACTAGATTGTTAGATTACTCACAGCGAGCTGACACACACACTACTTAAATTACAAATGCGTGTCAGTAGCTTGCGTTCAGCTACCTTCGGCTTTTGGGGGACATGTGCACTCAGAACTTGTACGCATCCCCCGATAGCCGAATGTGGCCGAACTCATGGTCTCAGTTTTCCAATCATAGTTTTGTACGATATATTGGTGCATGCATGTGCATGCACTTTGCTTTATTATTAATTATTACTTAATTCATGTTGTTACGGATTTCAGAGTTATTTATTTATTTAGAATTGTAATTAGATTTGCTTCATGTTGTCTTAGCAACGCACCCGATTTTTGAAAAGACAGCTGCATTGGAAGGTTAAAAATAGAACAGCGCGTGCACTAATACCTAATAAATAAATATCTCGTAATTGCTGTTGCCATCCACAAAAATCCCGATATTTATAGATGTTTCCAGTATATTCGAGAAATTAATTATAAAGCTTATAAAAGCCGAGAACAAACAACTCATCTCAGTAGTAGCTGTAGTTCTAGCGAACTGTTTGTTTACTTAATGCTGTGATTGATTTGTAGCGATTTAGCTGTGAGATAGAATTAGTTTCTCTGTTTTGAATTGATTTACGCTTGACATTTTGTGATATTGTTAGAATATTTTTGAAGAAATATTTCAGCATTTTGATTTATCTCTTGTGGAAAGAATAAATTTTTGTTAACTTTTTAACGTTAACCGTGTTTATTCCAGGCCTTTGTATTCAGTATGTCTATATCAAAACCAAGTGGTAGTAAAATTAAACGAAAAATCGCTGACGAACATAGAATAACCCAAGTAAAATGGGAATTAGAATATTTTTGCTGTGAAATGAAAGATAAAATAATCTGCTTGATATGTAATAATACTATTAATGTACCAAAGTTATATAATATTAAACGTCATTACGAACAACACAAATCGAAATATAACAATTACGAAGGATTAATGAGAGAAGAAAAGTTGAAAGAGCTCAAGTTAGGAGTGAAAAAGTTACAAGGAAAATCGTTACAAGGTTTTTTTATCGTTACAAGGTTAATTTATCGTTACAAGGAAAAGATATCATTATGAACATGTTTGACATAATTAAAGCATTCAAATGTCAACTAGTTCTTTGGGAAAAACAACTTAAAAATGAAGATTTGACGCACTTCCCGACATGCAGCATGAACAAATCAAGTTTAGATGATACTTGTTCGTATCAAAAATACGCAGAAAAAATTGCAAATTTAACAACTGAATTTGAAACGAGGTTTAATGATTTTAGTTCCCTCGAAGACTTTTTTTTTTTTTTTTTTTCTTTTTTCTTCGATTTTCTCAATAAGTATTGACTCAGTACCCAGCCATATGCAAATGGAGGTGATCGAGATTCAAATGCAACTCAAATTTGAAAGCAAAATTCATTGAAGTGGGCGTGCCTGAATTTTACAAATATTTACCAGCCAGGTTTGAAAATACTCGAAAATTTGCATTATTTCCATGTTTGGTAGCACTTATCGGTGCGAGCAGTTATTTTCAGTCATGAAAGGTAATAAGTCTCCTATTAGAAACCGTATTAATGATGCTCACCTTGGGTCAGCGTTGAAAGTTATCACTGCAAACAAAATTTCTCCCGAAATAGGAAAGATAATAGCAGAGAAGAGATGTCAAGTATCAGGACGTAAACATTAAATTTTTTTCTTGTTCTTTTCTATATAAATATATATATATATATGTTTATTATTGTATTATTCGAAATAAATCTACGTTTCTATGCATATTGATTTTTTTTTTTTTTTTTGGCCTGCCTAAAGTTAAACCTTGTTTGTTTGGCCCAAGTGTACCTATGAGTTTGACATCCCTGCAGTACAATGACACTATCTCAAAGGAAATGACATTAATTCAGTTTATTATTTATGGCTCAGGTTAAAAACTATTTAAATTTGAATTCAATTCTAATATAACATATATTAGCACTGAATTGGATATTTAAAATGTTATGTTGGTGACCAATTTCATTTTTGAGTTTTCTTACATTTATATGCTGAGGAAATTGCAATAGGGATGAAGTATTACAATGAAAATAAAAGTAATAATTAATGTACATGATATTTCTGTGGATAAACTTAGTAATGTACTATATATTGAGGTAAACAAAAGTAAATACAAATATTAGCTGATTAAATATTGCTTGAATCTTCATATAAAAATCTGTAAATGCCTACAGCAGATTAATACAACTTAAATCAAGCAAAATTTAATAAGAAAAATTTAACAATTGCTGGAAACATTTTCCGTAACAAAAGCAAAAAATTAAAAACTTGGAGATTCGGTAGCCTTCTCGTAGACCAGGAGATGTGATAAAAAAATGGACATAAAAAATAATGATGAATTCTCGAACAATAGTTTAATATAATTAATGGAATAAATAATTACATTATATTTGATAAAAACTGCTTAAAATTAATCTTACAATTGTTTTACATTATTTTTATGCTCTGTATTATCACATATTACAGCCTATGAAATTGGTAAATCAATTCTGAATATTTTTTTATATCTAGGTTTATAACTTTAATATCTACTTTTATGGCATTAAAAATAATTAAGAGCTTTGAAATTTTACTAATAATTTATAGACCATTTCAATTAATGAATATATATTTATTGACCCTAATCACAATTTTACTTTAAATCACAACTCATTTAATTTTGTTAATATCATAAAAATATTAATATTTTGCTAGTGCAGAAATTAGGCAATTCTGTCAAAAAGTACATAATAGTGAATGATGACAATCTACATGACAGAAGTACATTAAATAGGTCTTTTTCTGTTATGCACACACATACACATGCCAGAATGCTTGACAGGTCCATAATAGTAAAGTACCACAAAATGTAACTAGTACACAGAACAAAACTATACCTCAGGATTTCAATAACTTATATTGCAAGCATTGCAGCCTTCAATAAAATACAGTGAAACTTCCCCTAGCAATCATTGAAAGTAACCAGCATTAAGCTTAAAACACGGATAAATATCAGTGACGATAAAACACCACATCTCTAAAGGTTGGCCAAGTTAATGGAATATGGCAAAGCTCACCAGGGCCATGTTCCTATGGAAGGGATACTTTTGAGGAGAGCTTTCTAAGGAAAACTAGCTTGTATTCAAGTTATACATGGGGAAAACTAAAAAAATCAACCATGCAGCCAGTCTGTTCATGTGGGCTTGAACCTAGGACAAACTGCCGGAATTCCACAGCCTCAACCCCTTTTCTATTGACGAAGCATTCCCATTTAATTCCAAGTAACAACCTTCAGAGAAAACTAAAATGATATAGAAGCATGGTGGTTTGTCATGCAGAGATTTCACTGCAAACTGAAAACAAAAACATTGATACAAAAAATATATATATAAATATATTTATATACCTCTGGCTGAATTTCTTTAAAAACTTGTATATCCATCAAAGTTAGTTGGCTCTGCAAAATGTAAATAATTAATTTGTGATGTAAGCATAACAATAAATGCTTCACGACAGAATCATAATACCATAAAAATAATAACATACAGCAAAATCTTCAGGTGAAACTCTAAGAACTGAAAAGACAACAGCATCATAGCTTTTCTGATGAACTGATTCACCATTCCATCGAGTATCTAAAGCATCATGTGAATTTGAAATGCAATTTAAGCCCTGCAAAAGAAAATACACGAGAAAAAAATGTAAACCATTTGTGAAGCTATCAGTTCAATTCTACAAAAACAGATACACTTTTCATACATATTTACTTAACAATTTATTGATGGATGAAGCTTACTAACAAGACTGCTTAACAAAAATATCATTAATGTTTGAGCCATGTTTTTTGGTACTCTTCTGTTATCGGGATCATATTCAAAAATATATGTATGAGTTCATAGATGCATGTATATACATATGTATATACACGTGCACATACATACACGTGTGCATACAATACATTTCTTAATCTAGTCCCAATAACAGAAGAGTACCTAACAATAATTTATAAATAATATATTGATATTAGGTATATAAAAATGTAACATTTCCATACATTTAAAAACTCTCAGTTGATAAAATTTCTACCAAAGGGAAAAAACATGAAAATTTCCTCACCTGTAAATAATTCATTAATTTTTTTATATAATGGATACTGCAAGTGATTAAATACCTGAGAGTAAAAGATTGCTATAAGCATCATCATTTACAAACAAGATTTTTCATTTGTACTTTCTTGCCCATGTTACCTTTGGAAAAAATAGGTCTTATTTATTCCTTATTTACATATCAACATTTTAAAATTTAACTCTTTAATTGAGATTATGCAATGCCAATAAAGCTCCTTGGTCCTAATAAGACCCTGCGACGTTTTTTTACTTACAAAATTGATTACATTTTTATTTGTTTACAGCACCATTCTTCTAATAAAAGTTACATATTCTTTAAGGTTTAAAGGACCAGCTCGTACGTTGTTGTGATTTTTGACTAATAGCAGACCGCTATTTATATTATTTTTCTACTTTGATTTTAATTTTATTTTACATTGCTCGGAATTATAATAGCTTTTGACACCTTAATGTGATTTTCAGCGGACGCGTCGGGAAAAAGAAACAGAACAGTGGAGCTACAAAAAAGGATTTATTCCAAAAACTTTTTTCGGAAATACTAATGTTCTTTTATGAAAGTTTTTGGCATTAAACTAGAGCTTCAATGGTCTGTTTTGGCGAAATGCGGAATGGTATTTAACCTATTTCGTAAAACAGTTTTTTTCCCTTGAAAAGCCAACTGAGAGTGCGAGTGTATTAACTTACCATTTTTCCGCTATTTAATTTTTTTTTATTGTAAATTGTATTGATGCATTTTGTGTCTTCATTTTAGTTTTAATTTTTTATGTATAGGCATTTCATATATTGGCAATTTTAATTCTGTTTTTTATACCTTCCTTTTATATATATATATATATTTTTTTTTCCGTCGATCTATTTTTCATGTGAGTTAACTTTTCAGATTTCACAACGGTCAGATTAATTAATTTTTTTGTGCATTAGCAAGTCTTCCAGCACTAAATTTGGCAGTTTTATCGCGTATTTACAGTTTTTTCCAGTTATTCCAGACAAATTTCTTATTATTTATGTAGTACTGTGTTACAATATTTCGTGGAGCTACAACTCCTGGTAACTTTTTAGCAAATTAGCTGCAATGTTCCTACCTACTACTATTCTTTCAATCTTTTTGCAGCATTATGCGCAAAAGTTTTTGAGACCAGATAGGTCTTACATCTAATTACCAGTTAGCTTTGCATTTTCTTTTTCAATTATATATATATATTATATTTAAAAAAAAAAAAAAAACTAGGTCGAAATTCTAAAAATGTAAAAATACAATTGTCACTGAAAAATTGCTGTTTAAAGGAAAATATATTAGACAACTTGACACATACTTACTTGAGAAAAACTGAGATGCAGTTTAGGTATGGAAAAAAAATTTGAATAGGAAAAAAAAAAAAAAAAAATTTCTTTTAGCAAGCATCCTTCTCTTTTAATGCACTGTAAAATATCAAACAACTATTTACAAAATGTGTGTAAGTGGAAACAGCAAAGAATGTAGATTCATGTTTTGGAATTAATATAAAACCCATGTTTTTTAAAGAAAATTAAATAACATTTTAGAAACAGTCCATGAAACAGTCAGAAAATTGATGCCCACTGTAATAAACTCTTGTGTTCTTATAGAAAAAGGAAGTTATAATGAGTACAAGAGGTCACTTTATTGAAAATGCCCTCTCATAAACTGATTTTAATAGAATAGTTACTATAAACACTAGCCATTAAGACAGCATGATTACATTATTTTATTACATATATCAGTATTTCCTTGTTAAAGTAGCCACCATGTCTAAATGTCAAAACTGGCAAACTAAATTACCCAATTTATAATGCGAAAAGAAATATCATCAAATGCTCATGTGGGGGCCATTAACAAGGAAGAATAAAGAATACATTAACTTTGTGTTACTATTTAGTAACAGTTTGGTACAAACACAACATTAAACTAAAGAAAAGCTCAGATACTCAAAATAATTTTAAAACTTAGAAACTTTTTGTAAATAAAAAATTAAGCAAATGAGACATTTGCAACATCATCATAAAGCCCATACACGACTTTTAATTGGAACAAACAAACACTGTTACCAAACAGCATGGATTTAGCACCAGTAATGGAGAAACATTATGTCGCATTACAATCATAAGATCTTTGTCTTGGTTTGACGTAAATTCAGTTAATTTTTGGTAAGCCATGAGCTGCATTTTTATATGCTTAATTATCCGTAATTTTCATGGATCTGGAATTCGACAGTTCCGAGCTTTCTGGATATTCGGGCTTTTATTGTATTTGGGATTTACTGTACCTACAGTAAATAAATCTGATCATACGTATTGCATATCAAAATTAAGAATGTCAGGAAAACTTATGAAACTGGACTGTTGAAATCATATTAATATGTGCATTATTTAAAGCATTATAAAAATAGTGAGGAACTTTAATGTTTATGGAATAAAAGAATACTTCTGTGTATGACAGATGGGTAGAAAATATTTCGAAGTCAAGAAAGTTATAATTTTTAGGATTTTTTGTAATAGAGTACAAAGTCTGGACTTCCATCATCCGGAACCCCTACTCTCCTCATAGGAATAAAGAATATAATACAAATAAAAAAATTAACAAAGATAAGTGGTAAATGACTTTCTCTCATTCACTAGGATGTCTCTTTCAAATACCAATTGCCTACGGGAAAAGGGAATTAAACCATGTGCAACAACAATGCATTGATTGGTATTAGCCACAACCATGCTTTTTGCCTCCGAGTGATTGTGTAAGGAGAAGGGTTAACATTTTTGTATCTGGACTAAACAAAAACTGCTTCAAGAAATATTTAAAGCTGATGTTGCTCATCCTTTTTTTTAATATAATTGCCAGGAAGAAGAAGAAAAAAATTAGATTCTTTGGTTAACATTGCAAATAGTGCTCTTCCTTAACATTCTCATTTGATTCAGCAATTTTTTGCAGGGTATTATTGTTGTAGCTATCTTGTTAAAATTAAAGTTTCAAATTTCGATTTCCTCAAAAAAAAAAAATTTCTAATTCTGAAGCTGTAGCAGGATCTGCTCAGCAAAAGCATGTTTGATATCTATCTTTCATATAGGCCTCATGAGAGAAAATGGTACTGCCGTCTTGTGGCTTAAGAAACTGCGATTTTAAAATTAGGCAAAACAGAATTATTTTGGCACAGATTTTAGACACTGCAGAAGGCAAAATTTTCCACTGCAGAAGGCAAAATTTTCCAAATAATGGAATTTGTTGAGAAATATAAAGAAATGATAATATTAACAGAAGATTTCCAAAGCAATGACAACACAGCAATCAACAGTCAACTAATGAATGGCAAAATGTGTAGTGTGATTTTAATTCCAAATAATATCACTACCAATAGAAGACAGTGACAATGAGTTATTTGAGAATGAAAAGGTTTCAAATGACAGTTTAGTGGGAATACTCAACATGTCAATTACAAGATTTAAATAATAGAACTAAACAAAAAATTATACCTGTATATAAAAATAAACAGAAAGTATTAGCACAAAAAATGAAACAGCCTAAACAATTTACATTGACAGAAATATTTAATAAAAAAAAATTTTGAGCTTTTTTTTTTTTTTTTTTTTTTTTTTTTTTTTTTAATTTTTATTCTCTTAAAATTATAAATGCTTTATTATTTCATAAATAACTTTCACATTTTTAATTTTATAATTTCTGCATGTTATCTTACTAGATTTAAACTGATGCTCAGACCTGAAAAATTTCAAAAACCAGAATCACTAAAGTTTTGATCATTCTTACCTTGTACTGCACTGAGAAGTGCATTCTTACTGGCAATTCAACATCTGCTACAGGAACCCTTTGTGTAAGTATTGTAGCCAATGTGAAAATCTAGGTTAAGAACTGGATAAGGAAAGCTATGCTAATTTAGATACAAAACTGTATCATGAAGTAATAAATATTTAGGAAAAGGTGTTGAAAAGTCAAACTGTTAAGATAAGAATGGAAAGATATTATGGATTAGATCAGATTGCTAAGACAGGATTGGAGATCTGCTCGCCTGAGAGAGATACATAATACATCTGTAGCAAAACATAGTTTACTTCCAAGACCATTTAAATTTTTATATAGGTTATGTTACTGAAAAATACTAGTAAATCAACATGTTTAAGACATAAATCATTTTCTTTCAACCTTTATTTATTACAATTCCCTTAAAAAAAAATAAATAAAAGGGAACAGTTCTATATGTCCCATTTTACCGACCGACTGACAAAATTCATTTTTATGTCTTGAAAGAGCGACTTATGCCATATATTTGATTTATATATAGCCTTATTCTAACATAGGTATTCTGACACAAAATCTGACTTTTTCTGAAATAACATACCAATTTTTGGGTTTTCATCCGCAGAGAACCCGTTGGCGCCGTTGCATTCTTACTCGCCAAGCTCGCGGTTCATCGACGATGAGCCGAGCTGTAAACGTTATTTTTAGTGCATGTAAATTCAAATTAGCAGATAAAACAATATATTAAGCATATGGTAGTAAAAATTCACAGATAATATGCATGTAGATGTAAAACTAAACGGTTAAACGTGATATACGAAAATAAATTTGTATTAAATTCAAGTTAGCACAGAAAGGAATATATTATTAAGCATAATTCCAGTTAATACAGAAAACAATATATTCCTTACATCAGCAGTGATTTGCTAATTTTGATGACTATAGTGATGCATCAAACTATTCTGTCATCTTAGATAATCAATAATATTTTTTTATTTCAATTTAATCATCTATTTATGTCACACCTGCCATCCTCTGAAAGGTTATTGTTAGAAAAGCATTAACAATATATTATCTTGTTAAAATTTTACGCCATAAAAATTGATTTATTCTCATAATTTTAGATGACAATAAACAATAATAAAAATAAAAGCATTACTTAATTATTTCAAATGCACATGCGCATTTTTACGGTCTACGAAATCAAATTATTTTAGACTTTGGAAACCTCATGGTTCTTAGAGCTGTTAAAAAATAATAATAAATAAGAGGAGAATAATATAAATCTGCAAATGCGAACAACGACAGTGTTAATTCAACAAAATACACGCAAGAGGAATGGTTGCAAACTTTGAACAAGCGAATATGATAAATCTGATGGGTTACCAAGTTTGAACTATAATCGCCAAAGTTGGCGATGTTTACATTTACCGGGTTCTCTGCGGAAGTGCTTCCCAATTTTTTTTCCATATTTCGTTTCTATGACTCAAATTATCCATACACATTAAATTTTGTAATTTTTGGTGAGAAATTTAAAAATTTATCTTCGTGCACTTTTTTCAGTTTACACCAAGAACAATTAACTTGGCAAAATTCTTAATTTATAGTAACCCACTCACTTTTTTTCACTGATGGACGAGCGGAAAAAAAGTCCATCGTTCATTATTTCAAATAATTTTAACAAAGTGTGTAAACCACATTTTCGTTATTATCGAATATAATAAATACGCCAAATTTCAAAATGTCCTAAATGTAAATTCACGTATATCTTAGGAAACTCATCTACTTTAAGCTAATGGTAAAAATTTTGCAGGTTATAAAACAAAATGTTTTAAAAAAATTATAAAAATTACTTAAAAATACAAACTTAAAAAATAAATCAAACAATGCGTGAATTATATTTGGATTAAGCCTAAATTTCAAATTCTAGAAAAAGGAATCGAGTAAGTTTAATTTAAAAAAAAAAAAAAAGAGATTAATAAATATACACTAAATTCAATTAACACTGAGGACCTCAAATTTTGAGAGCTAATTTTTTAAAAACTACTACAGTCAAGTTGTTAATCCGGACCTCAAAGCTACAAACTTTCTGCGCATCCGTCAACGAAAATGCGTTGATGCTTGCGCGTAATACCTTTTCGTGTACGCATGCTCATAATACGTTTACGCATGCATGTTTAATGTGTAACAGACGGTATAAGCTAAGCTAAAATTATCTATTTCAGTTAATGTTGCAGATTGCGTTGTTCCTTAATCTTCGAATTGAATAATGTCAAATAGAATTTTCGATGCTGGAGCTGCCAAAGGAATCTACAAAGCGAAAGCATGTTTCCATGTCCATCAAACAAAAAGTGGAATTGCTGCAAAAAATGGATGAAGGCATATCCTTTGTTTATCTAACCATTCCGAAATCTGTTTATCAATTTCACGCTGCTCTGGAGGGAGGGGAAGGCGCAGCGCAGCACGCAATGAACTGGAAGTTGATCTGTCAGCACTATCCTTATCTTCAGGGCAGATGTTTTCATTTTATTAGGCTTATAATTCCTTACTAAATGTAGTATTTCATCTCGATGTACTCCGTCTTTGATATGATTCAAATCAAATTCCTTATCATTATAAATATCACGAATACAAATCAAATAGTTTTCTGGTTGCAATTTTCTAATTTCAGCTATGCGTAAATGTATGCTTTACGCATGCATGCATTGAAAAAAATGTTTAATAAAGTAAACAAATAAATATTAAGCTTTTTTTTGTAAATTTTGATACCTTTTAGATCATAATTGCCCATTATTTTATAAATTACGGTTTCATATTTTTAATTTTATTATTTCTGCATGTCATCTTACCAGATTTAAACTGATGATCCATAATCCGGAATCGCCGAAGTCCCGACGAGTGTGGATTAAAGACTTTTGACTGTAGTACGATTTTTACAAAACTTGGCAGTTTGACAGAATTCGAGTCTTATGTTTGGCATAATTTGAGTAGTAGAATTTAAATATGGAAAAAAATGGCATGTCATTCCAGAAAAAGTTCGATTTTATGTCAAAATGCATATATTAGAACAATGCTGTATATAACTCCAATACATATCGTAAGTTGAGCTTTCGAGACATCAAAAATACAAGTTGAATTTCATCAATCGGCCCAGTAGAACGGGAGACATAGAACTGTCCTATGTTTGTTTTTGTGCAGTGTACATGGACATAACCAAATGCAACTTAATTAAAAATATTACATTATCAAACAATTTATAATAATAATTTAAATCTTTCAATTTCAAAGCAGAAAATGAAATTTTAAGGAAACAATGGCAAAGAAGTCTAGTCAGAAATAATAAAAAAATTGTACACAGCATAAAAAGGGCACTCTTTAAGATAATGATATTATGTAAAAACATACACATTTTTTAAAAAATTCAGAGGCTTTCAAATGCTAATACAGTCAAAAGTCGTTAATTCGGACACCCATAATCCGGACCTCAAAGCTACAAACTTTGGCGTTTACGAGAGCGCGTAAGACCCTTACGGCTGCGAATATGTTTGTGCGCATGCGCGTTTAAATTGTAACGGAGTTATACGCTAAGCTAAAGTTATCTAATTCAGTTAATGTTGCCGATTGCGTTGTTCCTTAATCTTCGAATTGGATCCGGCTTATTATTTTTTGCAGACTGTTAGAGCAATTTTATAAAAGTAAGCTTGAACTTTCGATTATGTGAAATAGAATTTCCGATATATATTTACTACAAAGCGGAAGTATGTTTTGAAATCCGAAATCTGTTTATCAATTTCACGCTGCTCTGCGGCAGAGGGGGGGGGGCAGAAACGTCATTATTAGATTATGATAGATTAGAAAGATTATGTCAAATAGAATTTCCGATATATATTTACTAATATGTAATTTGTATCTACAAAGCGAAAGTATGTTTTGAGATCCGAAATCTGTTTATCAATTTCACGCGGCGGATTGGAAGTTGATTTGTCAGCACTATCCTTATCTTCAGGGCAGATGTTTTTATTTTATTTGGTTTATAATTCCATACTAAGTGTAGTATTTCATTCTGTCTTTGATATGATTTAAATCAAGTTCCTCGTCATTATAATTCGCTTCCGATAGTGAAGAAAGTGACCCAGAAAAGGTTATTGAAAACGAAAACATTTCGATTGACAAATTAGTCGGTATTCTCAACACAGCAATTATAGGACTTGAACAGCGGAACTTTGTAACTGAAACAAGAAATTATGTCTGTTTAATAGAATTAAAGAGAAAGTATTATCGCAATGAAAACGAAGCAACTTAAACAACATACATTGAAGGAAATGTTTAATAAAGTAAACAAATAAATATTGAGCTTTTTCTTTTTGTAAATTTTGATACCCTTTAGATCATAATTGTTCTTTATTTCATAAATTACGGTTTCATATTTTTAATTTTGTAATTTTTGCATGCCATCTTCCTGATTTAAACTGATGATCTATAATCCGGAAAAATCGATAATCCGGAATCGCCGAAGTCCCAACGAGTCCGGATTAACGACTTTTGACTGTACAAACTATCTAACACCTTGAAAATAAAAACAACTATATCAAATAACATTAATGAAATTAAAAACGAGAGAGACTTGCCTCATTCTTGCAAAATGAATTCATGCTGGCTGGAACAATTTCAGTACCCATTTCACAATACTTCATTTTGCAAATTTTTTCGAGTTGTGTAGCATACAATATACATATAAATGATATGTTTTAAATTCTTCCTGGAAAAAAAGAAAAAATATTAGTAGGAAAAGCAGGTATATTGAAATGTTTAGATTTTCAATAATGAATAAAAGTGGATTTTACTATCACAATCCTGATTTTTAATTGCTTCTTATGAATAAGAATAATTTTTAGATTATTTCTGATAAGTACATTACAATACTACTCAAAATTTCTGAAACCCAAGCTATTTATGATGAGCAATAAAGTACACATGAACTTGAACACCTCCAAAAAGGGGATATTTTTAAACACATTAGAACAGATATGGATTAACACTTTCAAAACAGTGGCCAAAAATATAGGTCAGAATTGCAATGTCTCAAAAAGATGGCTCTGACCAAAATATCAGCCAGGAAAAATTCTGTCCCCTTACCCCTCTGGATTTGGGGATAGGCATCCTCCGATGACATTTGCACTACTCGCGACTATACAGTATTATAAATTCCCATTAATTATTCCTCAACAATGTAATGTTATGCTCAGGGCAATAAACAGTGTACTTCGCATAATTCAGGTGCTCTAAAGAATAATTTTGCACTAATACAGCCATCTGAAAGATGCAAAATGCAATGCAATACAATGAAAATATAATCAGTAATTTTTTTTTAAACTAACAGACAATATTAAAAAGAATACACATATTTAAAAAGAAAAAAGAACAGTGATATAGTTTGAATCATAAAATACTTATTACAATACCTGTTGGGAACAAATCAAAAAATATTTAAAAAAACTAAATGAGAATTTTAAAAGAACACCCAAATGAAAAAAATGATAATATCACAAAAATGCAAAAGAATTTCACTAATATAGTTACTTGAATTTTATAAGAAATTTATGCAAATTGTAAATTTGTGCACGAAGCAAATGATCAAATTTTATTTTTGTGCATAAATTAAAATATTTTATCAATACATGCAATTCTAAACCATATACAGTTTGAAAAACAAACTAAAACTGATTATAAATATGTACTGATTTTTGGTATACGTAGGAAATATTTGCTACCAATGCTTATTTTCAATATTTATGGCAGTGTTTGCAAAAAGTTAATAGTATTCTATTATTTGATAATTACCTTCAGCTACAAAATAGCAACTTCATGGGTTTCCCTAATTTAGGCACAAAAATCAGCAGAAAAGAAAAAATTCCTTTGCATTCCCTAGCCTCTTATCTGAAAATTAACAAGGAGGATCCCCTGAAAGGAAGGTTTTAAATGTCTTTGGTAGTTTTGTCCCGTTCCCTTTGCAAATCTCAGCTTAAAAGCGGACAGAAGTGCATTCCTATTTCTGTCTTTTTATGTTAAACAATTTATTGCTTTTTGAAGGATAATGAAAATTATCCCTGAAATTCCTTCAGATAATTTTTTTTAAATATCAAAATTAAAGATTACAGTAAATAAATAATGCATTTTTAAAAATGGGTTAATTCATTTAGACACTGAAGAGAAAAAAATACCTAAATTTACTTTGTAGAATAATACACCTAGCCTAAAAATTCAAAAAGAAGCAACTGTAAATTTCACAAACTGAATGAAGAATTATGTAATGGTGCACGTGAAACCCCATATAGATGTGTGACATTTTGTCCATTGTTAATCTATATTTAAAATTATAGAGATAAATTATATAAATGTAATCAAATCAAATTCTACTTCAATTACCCTGAGATTATTTAATATTCATTTAAAGCAACACTGATTTGTCAGAATTACTACAGAAAACACACCAAATTTGATGATTGCAGAGTCACTAAAACTAAAGTTTACACAAATTGACACGGGCAGTCAAGAAATAAAATACATTAAACATCATTTTAAATAAGATAATATGAAGAATTACTTTCCTCAAGTGTACTTAACATAAAATTGCCAGCTTTCTGAGTGATAAACTTTTAAAGCCGTTTACAAATAAAACTCAAATTATGATAAATATGGTTTAAAAGCATGGATTTAATGCAGACTTATATTACTTGCTTACATAACTGTGGCTAAAATATTCAACTTTTAACAAAAAAATTTTAAGTCTCTCTTATGAACAACTTAACAGAATATAGAAAGGAAAAATTCTTAGTTAATTCTAAGTTATTCTTTTACTTATTTGGTAAGTAATGATCAATCTTCATACAAAATAGCAGAAAAGGTTGCATACAATTCCTTATACAATTCCTTTCATGTTAATACTTGTGTTCCGTCGTATACAAATTTATATGCTATTTCAGCATCCCAATAGATAGAAATTCATTACTTTCTTGCAAACTATATGGCGAATAATTTGGATTTCATTTTTTTTTTTTTTTGTCACACAATAAATCTTTAAATACTACATAAACCGCACGACAGTAATGGTTAATAGACAGGGATAGGTAAATCTGATAAAGAAGATAATTACAGCATACTAGTATCTGATATAGTATACATACTATCTACATGATATACAAATAGCATACATACTATCATCTTAAGTGTACTTTCATACTTAAAACAAACACTTAAAATCGAAATCGTTTAATACTTACTTCATTATACAGCGCTCAGTTAAATATTATTTCAGACACAAGGAAAAAGAACACAAGTTTTCTAATAAAGTGTATGCAGAGTCGTTCTTTTAATAAAGAATTCAAGAACAGATTTTAGGATAAAACTGTACACATATATATAATAATCGATAAACACGTCTGATATATATTTTTCCAGAACGAATTTTCCAAGACTAGGCAGATGACAACATAAAATGCATGTTGGAAGAGGCTGATAACAACTTCCGTGATTAAAATAGACTTAAATAATTAAACTGTGTATGATGTCTTGTTACATATGAAAGTCACTATCAATACAAAACTTAAAATCCTCAAACAAGGAGACACAGAACTTCGTCTGAACATCTCATGTTTAGGTACAAGACCAAAAACAACATAACGAAGTGGGTGTTTCAAGAGATAATACACGGAGTAAAGATCCGAAGCGGAACGCACGGGTCTGCTGCTTCCAAGGTTACCGGCAAAAACGAATGAACGCGACGCCAAACTCGCCAACATGAAAGACGGTTACAGTTTAATTTGACGAAACTAAAAAAATATGTACACAAACAAAGCACAATCATCAGAACTGCAATTTCAAATCATACAACTGGCTAATTTAACAACGGAAAAAGATAGCAAAACGGTTTACAAACTTGTAAATTAAATTTTGAATGATGATGATAGCAGCAATACAATGGTTGAGAATAACACTTTTTTTATGACGGAAGTTCGACGACAGTACTGACGTTTTCATTTAATTCTATTATCACAACTTAGTTTTTATGAATTAACTAAAAACTGTATTAGAAATAGCGACAAAGGGATAATTATATATATGTGTGTGTGTGTATGTGTGATAATAATTTAGTTCGCTGCATATAATTTAATATTGCATGAGTGGAATACATGAATTATTTTGCGATGGATTGAAGTTCGAATATTGCTAAAATATAAAGTAAACAGTAAAATATGGCGAGAACTTTCGAAAAATTACAAAATCACTTCATAATCCAAACATATCTTTATTACTTGTTGATTAGTCTATGGCATTTCAAAGCACAATGGCGACAATCTGCACCCTACAATTTTGGTTACCTTTTTAGCAATGAATAGAAGCAGCCAACAAGTAAGAGACGTCGTTTAGCTAGCAAGCGTAGCAGCAAAACAGGATGCGTAGTTAGTTGCAGTACTATTTATAAGCTTGGCAATTGCTTGTTTTAATCTTGAGCAGTGATTGAGCAAAATATTTTGCAATGCGTTACTTTGCGTTACTGCAGGGAAAGCGAGATGTAACTCTGTGCAATATGGAGCATTGAAGAGAAGATGCATGCAATTAAATTTAAGAATTTACAGGACCTTTCCAGTTAAGTTTAATTTGGTGATAAATTTTCCTTCATATTTATCTTACATATATAGATATATATATATATATGATATAGAAATGTTGACTGCTTAGATGTTGATACATAATGAAGAGAAAACTTAGTAGCCGAGGAAGATTTAATAAGAAGCATTCGTGGCAAATTTAGATAACATTAATTTTAGTTTAGCATTTGTGTTACAAATAATTTGGCACACTAATCGTGCCTATTTTTAATATACTTACTTTTTTGATAGCTTGGCGATAAAAAGATTATAGAAGTCAAATATTTTCTAAGAAAAAAATTTCACTTCCGTAATTAAAGTAGAATCATATCCGTTAGGTAAAAAAGTAAACAGAAACTATTTGCCATTCTCATGTTTTTAATTTTGTCCAATTTTCCAGTATCGGGTACGAAGTGCTGTTTAGAGGACTAATAACAATCAATGATACATTATAATTAGCACTTGTAAATATGAATTTATAATGCATATACACTCACGTCCATAGGCCACAAATTCGAGAGTGTAAAAGAGTGATATATAAGGAATACAGGCAAAGAAGTAAAATTGTTCGCAGGCGCTTTATAAGCATTTCAGTGTAATAACCGAATAGTTATGACACAAAGGACGCATTTGATGTTTTTTTTACGTGGTAGAATTATCGGCCGTCTGGAATGTGGGTGTACTCAACTGGAACTATCAGACGAACTTGGAATTGTCCAGAGTGTCATCTCCAGGCTTTGGCAACGATTCCAAGATGATGGTAATGTGAGTAGACGTTACAGCACAGGTCGCCCCAGAGTTACAACGCCGAATGAGAACCGGTATTTGGCAGTTACTGCCAAAAGAAACAGGCGGAGCATAGCCTCAGACCTGTCTCGTCAGCTCTCTTCAGCCACTGGTACGACAATTTCAAGGCAGACCGTGTACAGACACTTAGAGCAAATTGGTCTATATGCTCGTAGACCTGTCAGATGCGTTCCACTTACTGCAACTCACTGTCGCCTGCAGTTATCCTGGAGTAGAGAGCATGCATTGTGGACACCGCAACAGTGGGCTTGTGTGATGTTTTCCGACGAGTCCAGGTTTAGCTTGCAGTCTGATTCTCGCCGGACTTTAATATGGAGAGCTCCAGGTACCCGTTACCACCAAGAACACATCATTGAACGACACCGTTAAGGTGGTGCAGGAGTGCTCGTTTGGGGTGGAATTATTCTGGGTTCCAGAACTGACCTGCATGTTCAAATTGGAAACATGACAAGCCAAATCTATCGGGACGTCATTCTGGAGCAACATGTACGTTTGTTTCGGGGCGCCATGGGCGCACAATTTGTGTTTATGAATGACAACGCCCTTCCTCACCGTTCAAACATCGTAAGCGAATGCCTTCAATCGGAGGATATCACCCGTATGGACTGGCCAGTATTCTCACCGGACTTGAATCCAGTAGAGCACGTGTGGGACATGCTTTGCCGACGAGTTGCAGCCCGTCAACCTCCTCCTACATGTCTATCGGAATTTCGGAGAACATTGGTTTTTGAGTGGTGTAATATCCCCCAAGATCAGATCGATAATTTGATACTCAGCATGCGTAGGTGTTGTACGGACTGTATTGCATCGTCTGGGAGACATACAATTTATTAAAAATCATACTAATCATGTAATATTGGTTTTTTGTAAATAGTTTTTTTTTAATTTGCTCCAGGAGAAAAAATTGCTATTTTTTTAATAATATCAAACATATAGCATCTTTTTTTGCTCTTTACCTTTTGTTTAATAAATAAGCTTTACAAATAAGTCAAATTTGTTTGCTTCTAACTCTTCCTCTGCCTGATTTTGCATTATCCTTAATTTATGGACATGAGTGTATTTACAATATGAGAAATTGTTCATTTTAATTTTTAGCATAATTTAAAATTTAGTCAAAATTAACTACATATATTTTTTTTTAATTGAAAACAATACTATAGATTAATAAAAATTATGTTTGAAATGCATATTTCTCTTAAACTGTCAAGTAAATCCTGTCAAGTTAAAATGAAATAAGCGTAGTCCGCACGTCAGATTTTGAGACTGTAAATCTTTGACAGGAAGTAATAATTTCTGCAATAAAAGCGTCCAAACTAATCTCTTTAATACTCTCTAATTTCCGTTAAATAATTTAGCTTCTGGGGGAATAGCCATTTAATCTAATTTCTTTGCAATCCCCTCCCCCATAATGTATTTTAATTCATGAATACTACTTTGGTACTTGGGCCTGATTTTGAAAAATCTGTTGAATGCAATGTAAGCTTATATTTGTCGAATCAATAGGATTTTTTGAAGCAGGAGCTGTGAAAAATGCGCAGTATCCTCGCCGGGACTCGAACCCTGAATCTCTCAAATACACGTCCAGTATGCTTCCAATCCATGGAGGTACCTCCATGTTTCATCACATGGAGCATGTGATCTCTTCCATGTTCTCTTACCTCCATGTTCTACAACATGGAAGTATCTTACCTCCATGTTCCAATCACACCACGAAGGCATGCAGAAAGAGGGAGAAAATGCCTTATATATCCCCCCTTTTAAAGGGCGAGTGGGGATTAAGGAACCCAGTCGCTAAATCTTGGTGGTGACGAGTTATCATCCACCACTTTCCTCTATTCGAGCGCTACTTGTAGAGTCTAGGATTTTTTGAAGTAGGAGACGTGAAAAATGCGCAATGCCCTCGCCGAGACTCAAACCCTGGACGTCTAGAAAGCACGTCTTCCAATTACACAACGAATGCATGCGGAAAGGAGGGAGAAAATACCTTACAGACTTAACGATTGAAACAGATACTATATGAGCGATCAGGACACACGATACTGATCACGCACACATCATCTGCAATGCTTTTGAATGAACGGGACGGAAATTCAAAAAATACAGATAGACAGAAAGATAGATCACTCAGATATGTTTTTTAATTGTGGCAGGATTGTACTTTCAGATGGAACAGACTAACTCAATATCCGGATTGCCTTAATAATTTTTTGTCTGATTTTTTGTCTCGAGTGTACTCGAGTGATTTTTTTCTCGAGTGTACTCATTCATTCCAGTACTGCTCATTGAGTACCTGATTGTTCTATTTATTCGAGTGGATTCATATAGTTCCAAGGACGTACTACTGTAATTTGAAAGATTATACATAAATGATCTTATGCTACCTATATTGGTCAGACGTTGGTAACTGGTAATAACTTTAATAAAAGGCGTGATGTGCCATCATGTATCGAAAAATCAGAATTATATTGCTAAAAACATTTCTAACCTCAGAAATCTTAATTAAACAAACAATTAACAAGCATATACAAGTACAGCAGAAGCAGCTTAAGAAAATTTTCAGGTGACTCATATATTAAAAAAAAAAAAGACTTTTTGCGCAGGAAAATTTCTTAAACGAAAATATGCCCCCCCCCAAAAAAAAAAATTATTGCAAATTCACAAAACAGCTGACTAACAGCATAATTTACATTTCATAACTTTACTGTTTTGAAATTAAACTCGTTTATCTGTTTCTTTAAAATGAACTTAAATAATTCTTACGCGTGTAATCTGTAAAGATTTTTAAAAAATGTATTCGTAAAAATCAAAATTCTACTAGCAATAGCTTCAATATGTAATCTATATCTGTGCTTTCAATTATTCGCGTTTTTACCATGGCTCGCTTGAAAATTACAGAAATAAATTTTATGACAAGTTAAAAACCAGCAAAAAAATTAACAGGCAGTAAAAACGTAAAATATAGCAGCTTAAAAGAGTTCACTATTGTCTTCTCCGACTGTGAATACGAAAATACACAAACGATTCAGACCAATACTTCATTGCTCGTAGAGAAGATTGAAAGGCATGGCTCATATTATTTTTTCGCATTTGTACATAGTACTTCCTAGTTCCAGTTTGTTATTTTAACCATTGCTCTATCGTCTCTTAAGCGGAGTTTAAATCTGAGTTAACAAGCTGAATAATGATTATTGGAAGTGTTAAGGCAGCTAGACTCAGTGTAATATTCGTAACTTTGCACAGGCTGAGCACAAGTTCCTTTTTCGTTACTTGTACTTATGAAGCTGAAGAAGAAGGTTCTATACTTAAAA